TATATTTTTATTCAGGTGATTTTTCTGAAATATATTTATATTTTATATTTTTTCAAAAGATACTTCTCGTTTACTTTTTCTCAAACAATGAATACTATTCATTTAAAAATATCTAAAATATCTTTCAAAAGTTTTTTAAATCAAATTTTTAGCTTTTTTAAGATCAATTTTCATCTATTATATTTTTATTAATATATTTAAAATATTGATACTAAAAATACTATAAGTGCCATCATATTATGTGGTTATAATTAATATATACTATTACAATAGTAAGTTTGGTTAAGGTTATCAGTCTATTTCAATTATTTAATAGTATTTTTTAATAAAATTTACAATGTCTTTATTGTAATGACCAAAACACTATAACAAATAATTTAAATTATTATAAATACCTTAAATCCTCATATAATATATTAAATAGTTTTCAGTGTATTTTGATCCTATTTGATTCGTTAATAATGTTTTAAAATATATTTTAAAATACTTTTATTATGATGATTAAAACATTATAACAGAAGAAAAAAATTAAAAAAATAATTTAAATATATCTTAAATTTAAACTATTATTGAGTAAAAGAAAAAAAGAGGTATCGATTCGAAAATATATAAAATATAAATATTTTTCAGAAAATTCGCTCGTTTTATTTTATCTCCATAAAAGAAAAGTGAGGAAAACTGGTCGTCATCTCGTTCGAAGCGGCGACCTCCGTTGCCTCTGTCGCACCGTCGATTCACACCTGTGAAGAGTTCCCACTCTCAACCAATGTAGGTGAACCCCACGGCGGCCCCCACCAATACCAATTTGAAATGAAGGCTTTAAGTACGTGAAGTCACAGGTGGATGTCGATACGCTTCTTCCTCTCTTTCCTCGATGACTGACACCTCTGCTGACACCAAGTACCAACCAATGGAGTGGACCCCAGGGCTACCGCAAATAAAGGATCGCTACGAAGTCGGGTGCGCCGCGAATAGGTGTGTGTCGGTACGGCTCTCATTCTCTTTCTTGGACGATTCGCGTGAGAGGACCGTTTCGCCTCGTCCTCTGGTGCTGGAGACGGAGACCAAAGACGGCATCTTTTCCTTGCGTCCACGCGCTAATCTCGCGTAGGCTATATATGTTCCTTCGCTTCCTCGCCTCGCTTCGGTTCGTTCGTGGTTCGGTAGGTGTCGCAGCGAGGGGAACCCTAGAGAAGGGAGGGGCACAGCCGGTGGATCGTTCCGGGAGTGAGTTTCGTTCACCCGATCTCTGTTTGGCTTGCGATTCCGGCCGCATTCCTTGTCCTCTGGCTTTTCTCGTGTGGAGATGTTGGGAAAATAGTTCGGTCTTTTTGGGACGAATCGAGAGCTCAATCTGGAGGTGGTGGTTGATATTTGCTGGAGTTTCGGGATCTAAGGTTGCTGAATTGCCTTTGGATTACCTCGTCAGCTTTTGAGTTTTAATCCATTGTTCTGTCTCGTGAATCCTCGGGAAGATCAGGTCTTTTGGCGGGCGTTGGAGGGTGCAGGCCATTCGTTGGTGCTGCCTGTGACAGGCCTAAAAGCATTGAGAAGGTTTCCGGTGGTTTAGGCGTTCATTTCATTATCTTGTTGGGTCTTCATATTTTACATGATCGATAGCTATTTGGAAAGGTGTAGCAGTTCGAAGGGTATCTTGATTAGGGTGCTGAATCTCGATTGGTAGTCGATTAGAGGCCTCTGAGGGCCCGTAATTTTGGGGCGCAAACCTAAACTTGGAAGATGTGGAAGACGAGGGGTAAAACAGATGAAGAGGAGGTGGATTACTTCCATTCAACCCCAATAAAGCGCTGGTCGATCGGGCTGGTGAAATTTGTGTCTTTTCTGGTTACGCTAATGGCAGGGGTTGTGTTGGGCCTCTCCTTGAGCACCAACTTTTCTCGGTACTACAACTTACAGACCGAGCTTTTCTTCCCTAGGACAATGTACATGGCAAATTGTGATAAGGACTGTTTGAGCATGAAGAGCTTTCTAGGGCCGACACATTTGATGCACGGTATGACTGATGAGGAGCTCTTTTGGCGGGCATCGTTGGTACCCAAAATGGAAGAGTATCCATTCGAGAGGGTACCCAAGGTGGCCTTCTTGTTCTTGACAAGAGGACCTTTACCATTCAAGCCGCTTTGGGAGAGGTTCTTTATGGGCCACAAAGGGTTATATTCGATATACATTCACTCAATTCCAGATTATAAGCTCAATGTCACGGAGGATTCTGTGTTTTACAGTCGGCAGATCCCGAGCGAGGTAAGATTAGCAATTCTATCCACATTTCAGATACTTTTGTCTCTGCTCATCCTCACTGGATTGGTCACACAATGGCATGCATTCTCTTTAACTATCTCATATATGATGTTAGATTTGTTAGATGCAGGCAACTCACAAATAGTAAAGGGTAAATCCTTTTCGAGAGCCATGTTATAGGTTATTTTTCATTACAAAGAATGGTGTTTTTCACATTGAAGCAATTGTCAAATGAATCAGCATCAGTTCCATTGCGCTGATGAACTGCGTTTCTGCAGGAGGTTTTTTGGGGATCTATAACATTGGTTGATGCTGAGAAGCGTCTCTTGGCGAATGCTTTGCTGGATTTCTCCAATGAACGCTTTGTTCTGCTCTCCGAAAGCTGCGTACCGGTGTATAATTTTCCCTCCGTCTATGAGTACCTCATTAACTCGGCCCACAGCTTTGTCGAGTCCTATGATGAGGATTCACCACAAGGTCGTGGTCGATACAGTCAGAACATGGCTCCAGAGATCCAGGAATATCAATGGATGAAAGGCTCGGAGTGGTTTGAGCTCAACCGAGAGTTGGCAGTAAATATAGTGGCGGATTACAAGTACTACTCCATCTTCAGGAAATACTGCAAGCCTTCATGCTATCCTGATGAGCACTACATCCCGACTTACTTGAACATGTTCCATGGGGCTTTGAATGCAAACCGTAGTGTGACATGGGTCGACTGGTCGAGGGGAGGGCCTCATCCGGCAAGATACGGTGATCCAAATATTACGGTGGGTTTCATCCAGGCTATAAGAAATAATGCGACATTCTGCATGTACAACTCGAGGCCAACACCCATTTGCTTTCTCTTTGCAAGAAAATTTGCTCCTAGTGCCTTGGTACCCCTTCTCGACATGGCGTCGACAGTAATGGGCTTCTGATGTCTCCTTTCTTGTTGGCTATCGAAACTCCATGACATTCTTGCCTTCTCTAAGATTGGATTCAAGGAGGGCTTATGCATGTGATGGCAATGTATACTGAAACTCTGCGGCCTTTCTGAGTGTCTCAGAGAAAGCCATCAGCTGGACTCGTTTCCTTATCCAACCTCTTTTTCTTCCTGAGGTTTTGATAATAGTTCTCTACATGGACTTGTTCAGATACTGATTCTGTGAATACCAATTCATCATTGATATTTCATTTTTTATTTCGGTTGTGCAAGTAGTTTTAGAAGTCATTTATTGGCAATGGTTTAAATTATTATCATTTAGTTGGTGATGAAATCATGAAGCAGGACATGGTTTGATGGCAATATAATTTTCATATCCAGTATTTACAACATACACAGCAAATTTTGGCTCACCAGAGATATAGATAATGTTGGTAGTCAGAATACAGTTGAAGTTTTCTATTGGGAATGATATGTTTCTGCTAATCTGGATCTTAATAGTGTAATAAGGTATGTTTCAGAGGATGTGACTGGAGCAATTATATATTTCTTCTGACATAGAATCTGTGCTTTTAAGTTAGAGAATATTGACTGCATCCACTATGCTATAATTGATGCAGAACTAATTCACATATCATATGCTTTGTGGGTAGGGACTTGAAATCATAGACAGACCAACTTGGACCAGTTTAACTACTTTTCAATCCAGTTGAAAGTTTCAGCTAATCACGGTTTGGTTAGTAGAAGACATCAAAGAATCAGATTTGCAATTTACTTTTAGTTTCTGATTATGAAGTCAATGACCAGATTGTTTGACTTACTTACCTTGTTGAATATTTTAATTTATTTATGAAAGAATTAGTTAGACAAAGTCACAACTCATTTCACAAGTCAAATTATAAAGAATTATTTTGGATAGACTTAGTGATTAGGAATTGAGTCACCAGATGTAATTGGATTACACACTTCAAGCTTCAGTCTTACACATAGCTGAGTTTAGGTCACTGTCAATGTTAGATGATATCCTCCACTGTTTCAGAATTATTTTAGATAATTACATATATTTTTAAAAATATATATATAAGTAAAAAATATATATGATGAATTAAAAAAAAAACCTCGTAACTTTAAAAATCTTTGACATAGCATTCTAATTTTTAAAAATATTCAGATAATATATTTTTTAAATGATTATCCTACTTTTGTTGGACATTCTCTTTCGCTCCATCGACAACCCTCCTCCACCATGTGGGCAATGCCCTTTAAGAGTATAGGGACAATGGATATAACGGAGATAGGGATAAAATAATCTTTTCACATAATTACATATACTCAATACTATATAAAAAAATTTTAAAAATTTTAAACTAAAAACTTTTTTTTTTGGAAATTTAGACAAATGCAAATATTTTGAGAAACGTGGTCGGCAGGATTCGAACCTGCGCGGGCAGAGCCCACATGATTTCTAGTCATGCCCGATAACCACTCCGGCACGACCACTCATTGATATAAGTTAATTATCATTTCTTTATTGACTTTTATTAAATACGGTCAACATATATATATATATATATACATATATATATGTATATATATACATATATATATGTATATATATACATATATACATGTATATATATACATATATACATGTATATATATACATATATACATGTATATATGTATATATATACACATATATACATATATATACACATATATATACATAAATATATATACATATATATATATATACATACATATATATATACATATATATATATATATACATATATATATATATATATATATACACTTAAATGGCCAAATTGCTGTCTTCATAATAGACCACAAACTGCCTCGTAACTCTCCTGCCACCATGGCAGCCATGCTTTGCGGCCCTTCCTATTCTCGTCACTTCCATTCCATCGCCAAAAGGCAGCACAACGGACTTGGCCACTGCTCTCTCCTTCACTAGCTGGCCATATGACGCGGCGGCTCTTCTTCCTTGGAACAGGTTGCTCACCACCACCACCGAGCCACGGGGGTTCACGTCGATGGCCGAGACCAGCTCCCTGCAGTGCTCCAGCCTGTGATCGACGACGGCGAAGTCCACGCTCTCGAGCTGCCTGATCGATTCCAGCGGCTCCCCGCGCTTGCACTCCACCACGTCTGCCAGGTCGAGGCTCTCGATTTGTCTCCTCAGTGCCTCGAGGTGGGCCTGCTCGTGGCGCACGCAGACGACCCGGCCTCCGGTCTGCCGAGCGGCCGCCGCCAGCGCGAGGATGGCCGGTGACATGCCGCCGGATTCGATGTCCACCATCGACCGCGCCTGGTTGCCCGCCGCGAGGGCGGATATGTACTCCATGCACTCGGGTTCGACGATCTTGGAGGATCTTGTGGCGCCCTCCTCCTCCGAGTAGTAGTCCTTACACTGCAATGCACATAATGTTTAGTAACAGTAGTACTAGTAGTAGTAGCAGCAGTAATTGTAGAGATAGAGGGCTCACCAGCTGAAGGGTATGCATGTAAGCTTTCATGGCATCCAAAGGCGACCAGAAACCCATGGAAGCAGCAGATTGCAGGAGACAAATTCCAGAGAGAGATGATGGTCATACGGATCAGTGTCAATCGGCTCTTTATAGCCATACAAGAGACCGATGGCTTGCATGTGAACCCAATGTCCGGTTTGGGAAATATCTCTCACGGTTGAGAGAGAAAGAGACAAAGACCATCACCGTCGCCTAAGTGGAGGAGGAGGCCGACACTTGGAGGCCGGGGCTGTGGTAGGAGGACACCTGGGTGGCGCTGTGCGGCTGCGCATGTGAGCGCAGGGGTTGATAGCGAGATTACACGCTCTCCCTGCCGCAGGCGTGGCGTAATCCCAGTAGAGAGACTTTGGTGGTGGCCACGCCTCCATTCCCGTGACTCCATGATAGCTTCGTTTTCGTTCTTCCGTTTCCTTGTGGATAGGTGGACTCCAGCAACTCTCGTGCTCGTTGGACTTCGAGTTCTCCGCAACCACACAAACACACGAACTCGTCTTCCTCCTCTCGCTCATTTAATTTCACATGTTCTTAATGTTCTCCGTGCATTTATACATGAACTTAATCTTGACAATGGCAGGGTAATAATAACGATGGAACTCTGACGTCATCTGCTCCCGGGTGACAGTCTCCTGGGTCACGTGGATCGAGGAGTTGCATGGGTCGTCTGTCTCGATCTAACCTGACAGCACCGAGTCGAGGCAGATCAAAACGTCGACCGAGGCACGTCACCATCCTGTAGGAGCCCGGTCCTTCACGCAACCTCAACGTCGGTGTCAGACGCCTTCCCAGGTATGATCCTACTCCCTACAAGCGGACACATCAGGAAACGATGATCTTCCCTATAAAAACCCTTGCGTTCGGAACGAGGAGGAAGAGGAAAAAACACCCATAAGACTATCGACTGACTTGATCATCAGAGGGGTCGGGTCGGGTCGGGAGAGCCTCCCACTACGCTCCCAGGCGAGGAGTTCCCTCCCAAAAGAAACGACTGTCCCGTTGAGACCGGACCAACGTAGTCGGCTATCTCAACACTCTCAATGATAGTCCAGGAAGATCTCCACTCATTCGGATTCGAACCTAGCCGTGTTGGTTCCGAGACCACGACTTAAAGTTGTTGACACTAACACGCAACAAAAGAGAGAGAGTTTTTATATCATATATAAGACATGTCACTTAGGAAAAGAGATGCATATGAATAACCAAAAGATATAGGAATCGTTACGAAAGAGTATAGTTATGGTAGGGGCTTAATTATAAAAGCGTCCGTATCTGTATACGTATGTACGGTCTCAATCTCATCAACATAATAGACTAGCATAGCACACAAAAAGTGGTAGGGGTGGCGGGACACCGTCCACGGGATGCCTCACTGAGAGACCACGATGCGGTCGACGCCATCGCATCACTGCCGTCGATTCGTCTGTCTTCTGCGGCGCGAATAGCGTGCCCTCTCGTTTGCGGTTCCACTGCTATTCCCCCCTCTCTCGCACTCAGCCCTATCACCATCGCATCGATCGCCGTATTCTACTCCCAAGAGCGCGTCTTTTTTGATCCATTTGATTTCTGCTGACGTTTTAGTATCTTTCCCTCGATCTCTACGTATCTTTTGATCGCCATATTTATTTCCTGGCTGCTGCGATCTTCTCGTTCTTCTTCCCATCGGATACCCAACCACTGTATTTAATGCTCGTTTTCTTGATCTTTGGAGGTTTCTTTTCGTGGGAGGAATATTCTGGTAGACTGTCCTTATTCTTGTTTTGGGAATTCTTCTTCGTGTCCGCTTCGTCGTTTTCTGTTTTGTTTCCTCGTTTGCCAAACGCATTCTTAGCGTGGCTGAAGAATCAGACATTTTGACGCGAAGAAGCTGGAGCTCTGATTTCTGATTTCGGATTGTGGCGTCAAGATTGGATCTTGATTCTCGTTGCTGGATCTGCCTGAGGTTTGGCGGGTTGCGGACCTCCGATTACCCGGCGCAGAGAATTCTAGATTTTGGCGGTGGTTGATTAGGGAAAAGAAGAAGTTTTCAGGGAGGCTTTGCTGGATTTTACCCGCTGTTTTATTGGTCTTAAATGATGGCAGACCGGTTTTGATTTGGTTCTTTGAACTTTGGAAGAACTATTTGGAAGCCCTCGTTTTTTTGGATTTAGGATTCGCAGTACCATCCAACGAGGTTTTGGAATGGTTTTCGGCTTCGTTTCATGTAAAAAGTGGTTCCTTGATTTTATTGCATCGTTTAGGACGCTCGCGTGACTGCGGTGGGGGAAGGAGTAAGCAGTTTCTTATGGGCTGTGCTTCCTCCAAAGGAATCTCGGGAGATGACGGCCCCAAGTTTCGGCGGCCCAAGGCTTCGAGGAGGAGAATGTTTTCTTCATCAAGGAGGGAGGAAGTTGGGGAGGTAAATGCCGATGCTCGTGTTGGCCGTGATAGGAGCAGCACGGCATGGCTTATATCGAACTCGCAAAGGAGCGGCGCCACTTCCCCACCTCCCTTGGTGGGTGACAGCAAGAATGAAGGGGCTGGGCACCAGAGCCGGATAACGGTGGGTGCTCGTCCGAATGTGTTACAGCCGGGTTCAGTGGTTGTCAATATGGAGGCATTGGAGGAACAAAATCTGGTGATCTCTCGCATATCAGACGGGTTCAATTTTGAGCATGTTGCAGCAGGTTGGCCTTCTTGGCTCACAGCTGTTGCAGGGGATGCAGTCAAAGGGTGGCTGCCACGCAGAGCAGATTCCTTTGATAATTTCAACAAGGTAAGTAATCGCATCAACAGTATTATTTTCTCTTTTATGCCAGGGTTGCATGTTGAGCAAACAATTCGGCTAGCATTGGTTCTGTATATCGTGAATATTTTATTATGTTCTGTTTGTATATTTGTTTTATTGCTGTTTTATACCTTCAAAATCTAGTAGCTGTTTATTCTTTTCTTTCTACAACATCTATACTACCAGTGCATTGAATCTTTAACAGAAACTCAAAGGTCCAAACATATTCATTTTAACTAATAACCAATTTTCTGTGATCTTTTTAGGATGGCACATCAGAAAAAGATAAGCATCTCTACCTCTGTGGCATCATTTTCAACTAATTAATCAGCTGAAGTGCAGTTGCTTGTAGAGTAACAATCTTTATTGTTTTGGTTGTGGTGGTTGAAAACCTGCGTTATCTGAATTTGACTTCAAATAATCATGATAGAAGAGTTCAGATTCTTCTGGTTTGGACTAATTCGCTAGAAATGAATATTATCATATATTGAAAGTTCAATATAATGTGAACAAAGTTCAAACAATTTATAGAGATGCGAGTCCAAGTTATGGTTGAAGAGTGTAAACCATAAGATTGGAGACAGATTTTACCTATTAAGATTAATATAATGAAAATTGTCCATGCTAGAGAAACTTGCATTTGGGGGCAGTTTACTTTAATAAAGTATGTTCTGATGGCATTGACTTCAGAAGGTGTTTATAAAGAATGTTTAGTTAAAATTTTCTCTGATCCCTCCCTCTTCTCTTTACCTCTGGTATTCACATATTTGTTGCAGTGGCAACAGGCAACTTCAAACTGATCCCTCAATACAAATCAACAGTAATATGTGAATTTCTCCAACTTCTTTGTTGAATCTAAGGCTTCCTTAAATAGAACATTTTGCTACAAACTTTAATTAAGCTAAAACTCCATTCTACTGATAGATCTTCAAACACATCCTTGAATAATGGATCTTGAATACATCCTTAAATTTGTGTTATTCCTTGGGATGGTCAAACATTTGTACTTCTGCTGATAGTTTTTTACATTTCCTGCAGATTGGGCAAGGAACTTATAGTAGTGTGTACAAAGCGCGTGATCTTGAAACTGGCAAAACTGTTGCACTTAAGAAAGTCCGATTTGATAATACGGATCCTGAAAGTGTACGGTTTATGGCAAGGGAAATATACATTCTACGTAGACTTGATCATCCAAATGTTGTGAAGCTCGAAGCTCTAGTTACATCAAAAATGTCATGTGACTTATATCTTGTTTTTGAATATATGGAGCATGATATTTCTGGACTTGTAGCAACTTCCTGTGTCAAGTTTACTGAACCCCAGGTGTTTACCATATTAGAACATACATGAACCTTTTATGGTGGTTCCCTTGATATTTTGTATACTGATTGTGCATTGATGACTACCAGGTTAAGTGCTATATGCAGCAGCTGCTTTGTGGGCTTGACCATTGTCATGGCCGTGGTGTCTTGCATCGAGACATCAAGGGTTCAAATCTTTTGATTGACAACAATGGGATTTTAAAAATAGCAGACTTTGGATTAGCTACATTTTATAATCCTGACCAAAAGCAGGAATTAACAAGCCGTGTGGTAACACTGTGGTATCGTCCTCCTGAGCTCTTGCTGGGCGCTACAGAGTATGGTGTTGCTGTTGATATGTGGAGTACCGGTTGCATTATCGCGGAATTGCTTGCTGGGAGGCCTATCATGCCAGGAAAGACTGAGGTATCCTTTGCCACATTTGTTGCTTTTCTCTTTTAAATTTGGCATGTATTTGCAGACGATGCTTAAAATTGCAATATATCTTGTCATATTGGAAAATTTTGGGCAGCAGTTTTGGTTTTGACATCATTTTATGCCATTACCGAGTTACAGGGCATCTAGAAAGCATTTATTATGGACTGAAGCTGCATTAAAATGCTATATTAAATTAGACAGTAGGTCATATTTGAACAGTTACAATTAACTGTTTGTCTGATTTCCTCCTGCAGTTAGCTGTTGGATTAATATTTTAGCACTTCAGTATGTTGTTAAAAGATATCATGCATAACAAGGGGAAACAGAAGAAGAGGGGTGCTCTTGAATAGAAAAAAATAACAATCATCAATCTGCAAGTGAAACAAACCAGTACATCAATCTAAGAAGAGTAAATGTGGATAAAAGAGGATAGGTCGCGAATAGGGCTGGCTTAATGTTATTTTTCAGTTAGCCTTTGATCTTGATGAACTAACTATTACACGATTAAGGACTTCACATACTGGTCTAAATAAGAATCCATTGACTGTTTTATTTGGGATCCTAAGTTTAACATAATTGCAGATAATGTATATGTTAAATCTTTTTTATTAAAATATAGTATGATAAAATACTCTGAAAAGGCCAAGATATCTTGAAAATAGAAATTATGGACTACAAGAAATACAGAATATTCCTAAAATATTATTGACTTACTGAACCCAACACAAAACGAATACAAGATAAATAGATCAATTTCCTAGATAAGGCCTTAGATCGAATAATTTATTTAATTTTCCTTTTAAACTTTTCGTCTTCATTGATAACTTCTGATGCAAAGTGTCTTGTCTGAGTATCATTAATTTGGTTACAGGCCACACTCCACATCCAGTAATACTCACCATATTACGCAAAGACGAAAGAATATGTATAATCATATTTGTTTTTGGTCGCTTCACAGATACAGCAAGTTAACTCCAGTATCAGGGTCATTACTACTGTAGGACCACATTGTAGACTAAGGCTTCTTTCTAAATCATCTGGATGGAAAAATTAACCATGTGCTGATGTCTAATAATGTATATTTTGCTTTCACCTTGGCAAATTCTACCTTGCTCTCTGTATTGTATTTTGCTGATACTTCATCTTTCTTTCCAGTTACCTCCTTCAACTTAGATTCACCATTAGACTTTCACTTTAAGTAAGAGCTTCAGCCTTAAGTTGTTGAAAATCCTATGTGGAACTTAAATTGCTGGCAGCGATGCTTTCATACAATTGTTGAGGGAAACCCTATATCAACTTTTGGTTTGTATGCCAAGTGCCAGTCTCATGAAATAAAATAATTATGAGAAGTTCTGTTTTATGCTGTGGCCTGTACTACACTAGTATGTACATGGACATGTAATACCATAGATTGTGAAATAGGAGTAGATTTTGCTACTACTTGTGCAACATTATTAAGCAGCCAGGGAAGCATACCTCATTTGTTCTGCATTTTGGGCTCTGACAACCACATAACCTCTGCAAAAGTCCTTCTATGTTGGAAGGATCCTAATTTAGATGATGTTGCTGAGCTATAGGCACTAATTTGGAATGATCTTTAGTCTTTGCCTAATTAAAGAAAGATGCATATACATACAAGTTTCTCAGTTTACATATTATGAGCACTTGTGCATATAAATCTGGTGTGAGCCTGTTTAACCTAAGACTTTCTACCTATATATAATCGGGTTAAGTGGCTTGTTCCATTTATCATGGTCCTGTTTTCTAGATGTTTGTTGCTATACTTTGACAATGTCTGATATTTGGAATTTGGAATATTATCTAACTACTACTCATCACTAACTTTTAGGTAGAGCAATTGCATAAGATATTCAAGTTATGTGGCTCACCGTCTGAGGAGTTCTGGAGGACATCAAAGTTGCCCCATGGTACTTCTTTTAAACGCCAACAACTCTATCCACGCTGTGTAAGGGAAACATTTAAGGATTTCCCTTCTTCAGCATTAGCTCTTGTTGATCGTCTACTTTCAATAGATCCAGCAATCCGAGGAACAGCTGCTTCCGCGCTCCATAGTGAAGTAAGATTCTGTAGTTGCAGGCTGTTCTGTATTTGTTTTTGCATTAAGTACTTTTTTTCCTTGCAAAAAAAGAACTTAAGATTTGGCCTTTTTTTTATTGGTTCACTTCTGAGTCCTTTCTCCCACTATAGATCTAGCATCTTTAATTGTTTATTGTAAAATATTACAATTTTAAAACCACCTTGAGTTTATACAACAGTTTTTGCATTTAATATCTTTTTCTGTCATTTTGATTCCTTATTTGACTTTTCATGGAAGGTGATCAACAATTCAACCTGACATTTTCCCTTTGAGGATTTGTAGCATTATATTATAAGTTTCATTTGGTAAGAATTTTGATAATTATAATATTGACATCCATCAATTGGAGCTGAAGAGTGTATTAAACAATTTACAATTTGTAGAACTGAATTATGGTGACTACTGTCATTTGCGTTTTTGGTTTCTGAACTCTCCAATTCATATGTTGTCAAGATTCTCCAGTTCAAGTTGATATATTTTAAGGTGTAAAATTGTGCTGCATGATTCTGTGTATAATAAAACAAAGCATTTTAAACTTTTCTGATGGATTACTATGCTGCACATGTGTTCTGTTGAGTTAGTCTTTTTCTTTTTGCATGCTCCCCTTCACATCCAATAGTTAATACTAAATTCTGGTGATTTTGCTGTGAGAAATGCAATGCCTTAAAACATATTTTGTCTTCTTTCATAGGGTAACTATTGTATTCAAATTCTTATTAATCTCTTTTATTTATCTTTGTTCACTTGATGCTTTATTAAAATTTCAAATTTCCTAGTTTCATGATTATTAGTTATGAATTCTTTTCAGTTTTTCACTACAAAGCCTTTTGCCTGTGACCCTTCAAGTTTGCCAAAATATCCTCCGAGCAAGGAATATGATGCTAAACTTCGGAATGAAAAAGCTAGAAGGTACTTTACACATTTGAAACTGCTGTTTGTGAAATTTGAAATTTCCTGCTCTCGTTATACTGTAAACTCAAAATAGAACATTTTATGCAAACGAAGTAGAATCAAGTGAGTCATCATATGTTTCAGTTATAAATATGTTCCCCGACTTGATATACAATTGATTATGAATACTGCATCCATATAGGCTGTCAAAGAGCAGCAACTATCAAGTATAATGGAGTTGAATTTCAAAGTAGGAAGGAAATGCTTGCTTGTGATGGCAACATGGAATCACAGGTATATCTGCGAGCATATTTACTTTTAGATTTTCAGTGTAGCTGAAATATTTTTTAAAATTAAAAAGACAATATTTGTGACATGCTGTGCAAGGGGCTGCTCAAGAGCCCTCAGTGTCAATCAATAATAATTGCAAACGCAAGATATGCTGTGTATTTTTCATATCCATTGATGTGGCAAGACATTACTAGTTCTTCAATTCTTATTACTACTCAATTTGTTTAATTATTTCATTATTATTTTTGGACAAAAAGATAAAACACTTATGGAGTGATAGAATATCTACTAGCAAGTTGCAACCGATAATGTAGTACTTTTTCTTGGTGAAAAATGGGATATCACACTTGATATGGTCAAATTTGCTCGTCAATCCAATTCGATAAAATTGATCTGACCTAGCCTATTTTTCAAGTGTTTTCACATTTGAAAGATGTTGAGGATTTAGAACTTAGTCAAGGGAGAAATTTTTCCAAAGTCAAAATAAACTTGTATTCCTTATCGTTGATATGTCCTTATTCAGTCTGTATCTCATCTTGTTTATGTAAAGGACTCCTTGGACTCATCGGCTATTTGTTGGCAAAGCCCCTCCGATAGTCAAGTCAACACTTGTTCGCCAAAAGCTCATAAGGAGTTTAGTACTTGTTTGATAAATTTGGAATATTGATATATGTTGCTTTATATAGCGTCAATTTTTAATTATCATTTTGATGAGAGAAATATTTTCTTTATATGCTCTACCAATATATCATTCCCAATAAGCTATTTTGTAAACTTTGGTAGATAACATGTTCAATAGACGTTAATTGGACTCCATGTGTTGAATCTCGATTGGCCAAAATTAATGGCCATGTCATTCCATCCGCTAGGCAATTTGGGACCTTGATAATTGATATATATGTTTTAAAATTGGTCACTTTCTTGTCCTGAGTAGATGCATCTGGCGTAAGAAAAATGCTTTGCGCTTGGCCAACTACTTAGATGCTTTGGATATTGTTTTATCTGGGGTGGATACATCACATGCAAATTGGACGTACCAAGATATGTCGAGTGTTTCAAATGAATGAATCGGTGTATCACACACAAAGAAATGCTTTGGCCATAGTCGTGTTACTTATGTTAAGAAATTGGTTACTTTCTTGTCTAAGGTAGATATAACAAGCATAAGAAAAATGCTTTGGGCTTGGTCAACTGCATCATATGCTGTTTTGTCGTGGGTGGATGCATCACGTGCAAATTGGACATATCAAGATATGTCAGGCGTTTTGAATGCTCTTATGTTATCGGCGAACGAATCACTATCACACAAAAAAAGAAATGCTGTGGCCCTGGTTGATTGAGTCGGGTGGTTCAAATGTTTTTTGGTCTTGGACGGATGCATCTTACCTAAAGATAGATGCCTTGGGCCTTGTTGGCTGCATTGGGCGCTTCATATTCTTTTGTCTCGAGTGAATGCATCACGTCCAAAAAGATATGCTTTGGGCTTGGTTGATTGCATCGGGCTATTTGAATCCTTTTCGTCTTGGGTGAAAGCATCTTGTGCAAATGAAATGCTTTTGGAATGCATTAATTGCTTTGGCTGCTTTTTGTTTGGATGAATGTATCATGTGCAAAGGGAACTTTTTGGGCCTTGGGCGTCATAAGCACAAAAAACCTTGATATATATTTGTGTCATTGGTTTTGACATAGATCGTTGTGTGATGTGGTGGTAAGGGGCTTCACATATAAATAAAAGATCCTCAGTTCAAGACTTCAGGGGTTATAAAATAAACCTCATGTATTTGAGAACATGGAGCATAGGCTCGGGTTCAGGTCATGCATAGGCTTGGGTGCGGTTGGTTCGAGCTAGCTTGGTTAAGCTTTGGGTTTGTTGGCTCAGCTTTAGCTTGGTTCTGAGGTTAGACTGATTAAGCCCCATCAAAGCTGGTCGTGTTGGACTCACCTGACCAATCTTGGGTCTTACCTGACCTCAGCTGGCTGGTATGGGCTTTTTGCTATCCGACCTGAGTTGGTTAGGAGTGCTTAGTTGTTTTCAGGTCGATTCTTTCCCCTTTTAATGGAGTCAAATTCGTAGTAGAAAGTTTGCTTTATATAAGTATTGTAACCATTTGTTTGACGAGAGCATCCTCTATTGGTATAGCCTTAGCAAGTTTTTTTTCACAGGTGACATGGCATGTCCAGTAGATGCTGACTGGACTCCGCATGTGAAGTTTGGATTGATTGAATAAACGGCCATATCAACACTTATTCAACATTACTTCTGATACACTTAGTAATGTATATAAACATCGTTGTATATAGTAACATAGGTACCAACGGAAGCATGCATAACTTTATCTGGACAGTATTGTATCGCTGTTACTTTGACATTGGGGTTTAGAAGGTTGCAATGCTACTGGAGGGATGCCTCTTTCAGTTTTAAATGAACTTTTCCCTTTTTTTATTTCTCTTTGCAGCACCACATATAGGCCAAAGATATTTATGTTGTTATTTAATTTAAATATACAAAACAAATATTACAAAGAAGGACAAGAGAGGGAGAAAGAAAGGAGAGAGTGTTCATTGCACTTACATTCTCAAGACATTCCTCAAGGATCCCTCTAAAGTAAGATTCAGAAACAGAGGTAGCTTGCATGATAATCATTTGGAAATTGGAAGATACTTTGTTCTAGTTCTTTCCATATCTCCTGACAGGTGTTTAAGAAAAATCCCTTCATGCATATCACCACCTCCTTCCCGTTTTTCTCCTGAATCAGATTTGGTTGATATTAGTAGGATACAAATAATCCTCCATTGCTTGAAAAGTCCATCTCCAATTTCTTATGCAAAAGAGAAACAGAGTGGAATATGATCTTTTATGCCATTTGGATTCCCATTGCATTGTTACTCAATCTCCTTCTTTCTCACTTCAAATGGTCCAACTTCCCATGTGATTCCTTCTATTCCAGTGTTAGCCACATGACATTTTTCCAATAACAAATGCTGGGTCTTTCAATAGCCTTTAGAAATTGGTTATATGTCCAGAGTTGAGGAGCTTTTAGAGTGATTCCATATGGAATCAGGGGCTACCAAAGGATACTACATCATATATAGTGCCTAATGATCAAGCTTGGTGTGAGTAGTTCCTCCATTTTCATCTGCTTTGTGTACAGTCATGGAGTTTTTCTCCCACACTGAGATGATGCTTCTAAGAGTACAGTTGATAGGGCTACTATTATGGCCACTGGAAGGTAAGAAGTTGAAACTTCAGAGCATAATGTATATTCATTTAAAATCTGGTATAATATTGATATCCCGACTTGAATTGGACCCCAGTTAAGGAGCTTCCAACCAAAGATCACTACGGCGGTTAGAGCTGATATATGACTAGGCCAATTTATGAATTGTGTCGGCTGGCACAGGGAATGTATTGCTGCATGGCATGGAATTTAATGAGACGGAATTTATTTTCAATGTTTAGCAATACAATTTGCAGAATTCAGAAGCATGCTGTTGGTCACAAGAGTTGCATATATTGATTTGGAATAAAGTAAGATTAAAGGGAATTTGATCGGCCATGACATTGAGAAATTATGAAGAGTAAATTAGGTTGGCTATCCCGTCTTAATAATTTATGTACAGAATAGCACCCTATCCTCCCAGACCACCAAATGCACCTAGGATATCTAGAAAACAACTTAATATACTTAAAGCCCATCTACTCAGTGTGAAGCAAATTGATGGAGAGCTAATTTTAAAGGAATACCTGTTAACTCTTGATAGTGATCCTTGATATTTTTAGGCTTACATCTGATCATCACCACTCATGATTTGCTCATGTTGTCAAACTTGTTATCTATGTCACTTCATTTTCTATGCTGCACCTTTCTACTGCCAGTGTGTTAAATTTGTGTGATTGCCAGCCTTGTTACCTTGATCAGTTCATTTGATAGGCTGCATCTTTTAACTTCCAGTGAGTTAAATTTGTGTGATATATTGACATGATGTGCACACATGCATTATATGATGTGACAACTGTTAATGGTGAATGTCAATTCAAAAATAATGTGAGAGCACTTCACTTGAAACAGCCTTTGAGTTTGAGTCATCTGAACATTTTCAACTTGCCAGTATTCTCCCCATTATTCTGTCTGTGAACTAGCTAGGAAGAGTCCTGTGTGCTAAAACTTGATATTTTAAATCAGAATCTCATGGATCTATCTCTTGTTACTTGGACATGTCTGAGAGTCACACTTACATCGTTGAATCTTCCATTATTTGGAATGAGCGATTTGACGTAGCAAACCATCACTAATGGTGTCAGCAGCTGGTTATGGTCTTAAGCTTAAAGCAAATAAAACCAAAGGTGGAGTAGAGGTGGACTGGAGAGGAATTACAAAACTGAAAGAATCGAAGTTGGAGCTACTGGCTCCATCTTTTCTTTTTTTCGTCCACAAAAAAATCAAAAGAAATCTAATATGATATAGTTTTCTGGTGCTTCCCATTTTAATAAGAATAACATGCCACTATAATCAAGATCTCGTTCCTGTAGAGAACAAACTGAAATGAGAACTATCTATAATTTTGGAAAGAACATAATAGGATACCATTTTTACAATAAAACCTTATTGAATATTATTGTTATTCCAAATGATGATTAGAAGACAGTAATTTCTTTTTTTATGGTTTTATATGGGCCAGGCTGACCTTGTAGTTGTTAAATTTCCACCTGCTCAACCTTTCTTGGACCAGTCCATTCCTAGGATTTATATGGGGGTTACTTTTATTTTGTTTGGTTATAGAAGTGGAAGGACAATAACGTCCACTTCTGTCTCCCCAAAAATGAGGTTCTCTTTGGTTTCTCAGCAGCAAGCATCCTAAGTTCATCAGCTGAGAATGAAGGATTTAAAGATTAGAAGTCACAAGTTCCAGATTATGGTTTTATTTTTTAACCTTGTAATTGACATGTTGAGGGTTCTATGTTGGTGGAAATATGGAAGTTACAAGGAAACCTTAAAACAAGCAGTGACAAGTACAAACCAAAAGAGGAGGCATTATCAGGTTTCCGAAGAGATCCTCCTAGAGGATCGTTTTGCTCATGGTTGTCCTTTGATACACTCTGGCTGCTCGTCTCCTACAGGACTGTCTGCTGACCCAGAAATAAGAACACCTGTATCACATGTACCTCAGGCAGGAGCTGCAGACTTGCCCATTGCATCAGGTTCAATGGTTGCAAGAAGCGATAGTAGACAGAGTGCTAAGTGCACACATACGTTAAGGAATCAAGTAGCCTCCGAATACAATCATCTTGGTTCTGCCGATTCATCTGAGAAGCGAGAATGGACTCTTCACTTGCTTGATGGGCATTCGTCCTCTCACAAGAAGGATGATAGGAAAGAAGACAAGGAATCAACAACTGTAAGTGCTGACACAAAATTAAAATTTGGCTGAATAGCAAGTTCTTTATCAGATTGTCATTTTAGATTTAATGTAGATGTCATGCTTGCCTTGTGTTTATTTTTATGGTTCCACAGCTAGCATTAGGCACCTTATGCTCAGAATGCATGTCAAAATCTCATTAACAAGTCGTATGCTTATCTTATATTGTGAAAAAAAAAAGTCTAAGAGCTTTCTAGAGAAACTTTGAAGTGAACAGTATTTGTGTTTGCAAATAAAAATTTAACTATGGTATTCAGTGTCCTTTGTATTTCCTAGAAATGAACAGAAATAATGCTGATGAAAAATGCTGCCCTTGGGCTTTTCAGTATACTGAAAAATGACAGATTATCGGATGTCTTGGCTTTTTTAAGAATATTTACCTATCCTGAATCTGATAATTGAGAACCTACAATTAGATTTTTCTTTCTGGTTCTTGTGATAAATGGCAGCTAAAGTGGAACCTGCGGTGCCAGATATTGATCCTGATGAGACTGTGCCAGCATGTTCTGTTCATTTTTTAGACCACTGTGATATTGGTGGCTGTCTTCTCTAATTTATATATTTCTTCCTAACACCACCTCAAGTTTACACTCAGTGTCTTGCTGCAATAAAATTCTTCCCTCATGTCTGTGTTTTCTCAATTTATTCAGGGTGTGGCTCTAAGAACCGAATTCACTACTCTGGGCCATTGATGCCGCCAGGGAGGGACACCAAAGAGATGCTCAAAGAGCACGTGCGACAAGTCCACCTGGGTGTACGCAGAGCCTGTCTTGACAGAGCCAAAGTCAAGAATTATGGCGAGAGGACTCAGTTTGAAGCCTTTCTCTGTTCTAGCAGGAACGGCAGGTCAGATCGATGTCTTTGAACTTACATATCTTTTTTTCTCTTCTATCGTGAGAATTCGATTCAACAATGTGGTCCTTGAGACAGAACCAATGCTAAAGCACAATACTTCCGCCGAAAAGATCTTCGTAAAGATCAAACACAGCACGAACCTGTCGGTACGTGTAAATGACAGGTTTGCAACATGTATTTCAAATTGCGAGAAAGAAGATTGTGTGAAAGGAACTATTTACAACTTTCTTGGAGAACTGCCAGACCAAAAAAAAAAAGAAACATTAAAGCTCTACGTTTCTGGTTCAGGATGGTGCATTATTGAACATATAGGTTGTGTGAAAGCCGTAAAGCCTTATGGTTTATATTCGAGTGCCTCATGGTTTGAATTCACACAGCTTTTGTGATTGCTTGTGCTGAAATTGATACATAGTACGATGGTAAAATTGCCTCTTTGGGTGATGATGATGCATTGGATTGCATGATTTTACTGTAATGAGTAAAGATAATTATCAGTTAAGTTAGTTAACATCTCCGACGTAACAGCTAATTGGTCTATGGTGGTTCTGTGAAAGATATACTTATTCGAAATTCCATTCAATAAATTTCATATATCTATAAGTGACTTGTAGAGGTGAACATGAACACACAACCCACATATTATAGCTGAGAGAACCACTTTCTTTATTCTTTGAGTGCAAGATAGAGAGAGAGAGAGAGAGGAAGGCATGGTTTAAGCATGATATATTGGCATGATTGTGACACTCAAATCATAGATCATTACATGACTGCCAATTAAATGATAGTTCATAGCACCTTCCATCGCAATTCGATTGAGATTAATCAGCATTTGAATGATACCCTTACATCTCAAACATCATATGGACTAATCCAACTGCAAATTACAACTCTATCAAACCCTTGTTTGCATTGACATTGAAAACACAGTCGACACCCAAACAGAAACTTCCTTTGTTCTTCTTGAACTATTGACTTAAGCTTGTATTGTGCATGTAAACGCTATTTTCGCCAACGGAGCTGCGCCTTGCCGTCTCGGGCACGGAGCCACCGGAGGAGCGCGCTCGTCGCCTTCACCACCGCCTCGCGGTGGACGCGACACAAACCATTCCTGCCGCTGCCGTCGGCCGTAGCCATTCCTTTTGTCTTGTCGTGTGACTTAGTGCTTTCATGTCACGTGAGGAGGAGGTCGTATACTACTACCGAGTGGTGGATAGAGCAACGCTTTCATCCGCCCGTATCCGATCTCATATATCGGATTCGGATCTACATAAAAATTTACATAGAAAAAATATCAGTAAAAGTAAATTTCCATTTAGCGTCTCCAAAGCCCCATAAATTACCAAATCTTCCTTATTAAAACAGTCCTTTATATGCCAATATATCCATTGTTTTTTCCTCCTTAATTGAGGTCTTAAGTGGGAAAAGCGTCCAACTGATAGATTATAAATAAAACATACTATTGGGACTAATATGCATAAAAGTGGGACTAATTCTTCAAGAACAATTCTATAGGGGCGTATGTGGAAAAAGGTGCTCCCAAATAATGCATCCCAAATCGAGCTTCGAGTCTCGATTTAACCGCGAACGGCGGTGACGCTACCGAGCGCTGAGCGGTGGGAAAAGCGAGGAGGGATGAGCGAAGACATCAGCGGGCGACCGAAACCCCTTCTCCTCCTCCTCGTCGCGATTTCTCGTCGGTCGGTCTCAGGTCCGCTCCTCTCCGATCCCTAAATCGAGTTCAACAGCTGTGATCCTCGCATTCTTGGATCTCGGTTACTGCAATTTTTTGTGGTGTTGGTTGAGTCGAATCACTTGGTTTCTTCTTCGGAGACCGATCGGCCGGGAGTTTCAGTTTTGTCCGTGATTGGGATTGTATTCCTTTGACAATGGTATTGGTAGGTTGTTTGATATGGAGACGGTCGAGTTGTCCCGAATTTAGCAGCTTGTTTGCGTGAGTGTGCTTGATTGGGTAATTAGTCCTTATAGTCTGCTCACTAGGTTTATTATGGTCCAGAGCTGGTGCGTCTTTCAGACTACAATTTGAGTTACATGATGACCTTTTTAGGCCAGTGAAGCAATTTCCAAGCCCATTGAGATATAAAGGTTCTCTAGGGTATAATTTGACCCTTTTTGTTTGGTATCGATGTCTGATTTTAATCGATACTTGGCTATTTACCTCCAGAAATTTTCTTGTCGGTTTCTTATTCTAGTTGGAGACTCAGGGGTTTAATAGTGTGATTTCCACCAAAGTCACCTTGCCGAGACACTCTTTCGATGAAAGTTTGATGCAATGAGAGAGTTTTTTTTTTTTTTTTTTTCCTGCAAGTTGGATGGCCCTTTATTTTGGAGCGCATGAACTATTTCAAATCATAGTCTCTGGGGTGGTTTCTATCTTTTGGTGTTGCAGGCACATGCTTAATTGTCAAGCTGACTTTATCTTTGTTGCTTTGTACTTTTGCGGAGAAAAAAATCGACAGTGAATATTGGGACTCAAAGGGTTTAAGTTTTTTCTTTTGAAAAGGGGAACCTAAATTTTAGCTCTAATAATTTTTTGATAATCACCTGATGGGTTAAGTCTGAAGGCATAAAATCCAATAAACATGCCCTTACTGTTAAATAATATGAGGATGAAAAATCCAAAGTTGTAGGCTGTTGCAGTTGTTTATTGATTTTCAAGTGTGTGTGTGTGTGTGTGTATATATATGTATATGAATATATATATATATATATGTATATGTATGTATATATATATATATATATATGTATATGTATGTATATATATATATATATGTATTTGAATATATATGTATATATATATGTGTATATATATATGTATGTTAGCATGCATGCATATTCTTTGATAAATTTCATAGCATCAAGTTAGCAGCTAGAAGTCCAAACTGCTTCAGATGGTAGGTCTTATTCTGCCTGAGGAAACCTGCATTCTTGATTAAAACTCCTAGGTACCCCCATGTAATCTAGTTTACTCAGGACCCATCAGTCTTCTAGTTTACTCAGGACCCATCAGATGTTTGAAAATTGTCCTAAGAATTGCTCGGTATTGCTTATAACCTGAATGTTTTATCCTACTCTGGTATTAGCTTTCCAAGTTTTTTGGCTTCCTCCTATCTAGCCAATCATTAATGTGACTCTATCTTCTCCTTTTTTGTAGGTCTGTCTGATGATCATCCAGGTTCCAAGGATGCAGTAATTGCCGATGCTAACCCTTCTAATTCTAGTAGTAACACGAGGCGTGAGGTTTTGTTCATATGCTTGGGTGTTGTGGGAATTGCACTTTTGTTTGTTTTTCTTCTCAAGCTTTGGGAGAAAAAGAAGAGGGAAGAGCAACATGCTCGTCTTTTGAGACTGTTTGAAGAGGATGATGAACTGGAGCTTGAACTTGGTCTTCGAGACTGAGAGGCACGTCTTGCAGCTGTTTACACTATCATTGTTGAGGTAATAACTTGAAATAAATTATTTCTGAAGATCGTTGGGTTCAATTTATCTTGGAGTTGGGTTGCTTCATCTTAAAATAAGCTGCCTGTTTGTACTCCAGCATTGAGATTTAGTTTGCGATTAACCATTGTACATGTTATGAAAAATTCATTTTGTTTGCTTGTTGGCATTATCTATCATCTTTATTTAGACATTACAATAAATTCAACATATGGAATTTGAAGATACAGGTCTTAAGTTTAACTCAGCCGATGTCAAAAAATCTGTTATGTGCTACACCTGTAGGTATCTGAATCTGAAGATATGGGTCTTCAATATAAGGATATCCCAACATGAAGTAACTTGTTATCTTAAGAGATCTAGATTAGACTAAGACCAGCATCAGACCCTCTTGCAACATTCTCTTGTTAATATCAGTCAAATGACTATGGCTTTGGTTCAGTTGGTTCATTCAGTCAATTTTCTTCAAGTAAATGCATGCCTTATAAGTAACCTAACTTTTGACGCTGTATGATTCTAGTAAACTCTAGTGAATGTTCAGGCTATCTTGATGAGACTAAGGTGGAGATTTAACCATATATATCAGCTTGATGAACTTTAACATATTACCATCTAAAGTCACTCGTCTCACTAGAATTATAGTTAAGAATTGTTGTCTTGGTTCGTGCGGTTCAGCATATATTGTGACTGAAAGATAACACATGCGCTGGGCTGTGTCAATGGTGCGGAGACATCCTTAGGACAAAATTTGACTTATGCCATGCCATGCAAAAATTATAGCATGCTCTAGTGCTTTAAAATTACAATCCTTCTGTATCAAGCTAAATTTAGATCTTAAAGTCGATTCTTTATCCACCAAATCATATTTTCCATATGTGGATTAGTGTTGGGTAGTTAAGAAACATGTGCATAATGTTAATGTAATTGAGATGAGAATGTTAAAGAGTGATGGTAGTGTGGGTTTAGTTGAAAAAAATAAGAAAAAACTTATAATTCGCGAACAAGTGGTATTTAGGATGTATGAGCATATTCAGAGGAGACTTATACATCGCATAACGAAATGAGGTCATTGATCAGAATTAATGGTGCAACAAGAGGGATGGGGAGACCCAAGGAACATTACTAAGAATAATGAGTAGAGATTCGAACGCTCTTGATAACTACAGATGTTACCTTGCATAAAGCTCTATGGTAGGAGAAGATCCATGTAGCAGACTCCAAATAGGTGGGATATGGCTTCTTGTTTTGAGTGCTGAATAGCTGCCTGTAGAATCAACATTGTTATAAATTGCATAAGCTTGATCATGATGTGTCTTCATGGTGTCAACTTGTGACTTGTTTCAGTTAATACTGCATGCAGGTATGGCGAATCTCCACAACAGATTTTCTGCTTTGAGTGATTATAAGGGTTCTGCTATATCCAACACTTAGTCTCTACAAATGAGGTCATATGTATTTCTTTCGTTTTTTGTAGTGAATGTTGTGGTACAATGGAAGAAAACTCTTTCCTCATCTCTGGTGATGTATTTTCATGTAAGTGAACTCATGGTGAATCTCCACGATAATTTCCAGACTCGAATGATCATAAGGGTTTTGCTGTATCCAACACTTTATTTGATACTTTGCAAGTGTAACAAATTCTTGTGCTATACATTTTCAAATGATTTCATACTTGAGTACATATGTGTAATTAATTGTTTCTTTTCCCTCAATGCTTGTAGGAGGTGACCGTTGACAGTATCTTATTTTACCTAGCTTAACATGACATAATGCTCGGTATAATGGTACTAGAGTAATTATTAGAACTTGTTCGACATTACTGCAACTTTCTGAATAACCCATTTGTGCATTTCTACTAGACACATTTTACACCTGATGTTTGGTATGCTTTTGAACCAACACTCTGATGCCTCATACAACAAAAACACAATTGGATATGTTAGCACACAAAGGGAGCAGCATCGAAATTATAAGAAATCGAACTGAGATAAATTATTATGTATGCTTGTGCTGATGCATCCCTATCGTACCAGGTTATCTGATCAGAAGCGTTATACTTGTAATGAAGTCTGTTGTTTTTAGGCATTCCAATACTTATTCCATTATTGGTTCAATGAAGCAATTACGTTTTTCCTACTTGGTAAAAGGAAATATTGCTCTTCAATTCATTTTTGCCCTTATATTTGTCCCTTATTCTAAGGTAGTTTAAATTTTCGAATCTTTGTACAATATTTCAGCTGGTAACCGAGAACTGGTCTCTTTGTATCGTTACTCTGATGTCATATTTGTTGCAGTCTGATGATCAAATCACATGGACTGTGCCTCGATAGGAGTCGCAAAATGCGGTGAGTCATCTTAATACATTCTAATCATAATCTAGTTCATGATCCATGTGAGACTTATTAGATAGAGGTATTACAGACTATTACACATTTTAGGTTAATTTGATATCTTCTGTTTGCTTTTTATGTTGTTCACATGTAGGGCTGCAAATGAAAGCCTTGTTGGCATGCTTCTTCGGAATTGACTTCTCAGAACCACCCTTTGATTCCAGGAACTCTTGCCATGTCAAATTTATCAAGATCAGACGCAGCTTCACCTTTGGATGTGAAATAAAGAAGCTGATCCAGCGGCGAAGAATTTATTATGAATTCATCTTCCGCAACATGTTCTACTGATTGCATTGCACGATTCGACCCTCACTCATTTCCTCGACATATTGAAACAACATCTGGTTCACATGCTTCTGCTGTGAATCTTGGGTTTTAATATATTCGCATCACTTGCTTTTTCATGCATCCATGTATTCGATTCTCACGCCTCTTTATCTGGTTTCAGAGGTACGTAAATTTGCATATTTTGTAGACAAAGCGTTGGACCATTGCAAGTGTCTCTGTTATCATTCATCCTCGACTATATTCGATGGTGTGTATTTGGGATCTCATTCCTATGGGATGAGGGTTTAAACTCTCTTCGGATGTCTTGTTCTAAGCACTTGTCTCCGGGATGCAAAGCTTGTTATCGAACCAGACTAATCTCTCGATCGGTATTTCAATTCTTAATGTAGAAAATTTCTGTTCTATTAGGTATAAAAATCCTCTTACTGTGCTTAATCTTTTATGAGGAAATCTTCGAATTACTTCCCGTAAGATGGAAGGAATGTGTTGGAGATCACAGATTAATCTTAGGCAGATTTAGTTCGATCTAATTTAAAGACAATTTAAATCAATCGAGAATCTTAAAATGCTCAATTATATACGGACTCAGAATTGTAAGACTCGATTTATCACTTATATAATAATGTCCTAATCAATTTAAATGTCTCGACAAACACACAACATGAGTAAAGAGATTATCTCCGTAATTCAATTCCTATCACTTCGGTTTTAAGTTTTAAACGCGTTGATCTTATTATGATATTGAGGCTCAACTTTTTTACAAAAGAATTTATTTATTCTCCTCTCCAAAATATTTTTTGTTAAATGTTTCTTATCACAACATATGTTTATATACATATATATGTATATAATTAATGGAAGAAGTGATTGTGATAGAAGAGCAGAGCAAACAAGTCGATCATCTCACCAGAGAGCATACAGCGAGCGAAAGGTTGAGATCGTCACTCTCCGTGTGAGTCGAAAACAGGACCGGCACATGTACTGTTCAGGCAATGTGTAAGTTAAAAGACATACCCTCGAAACATATCATCCAGCAGCAAGCGGCGAAGATTGACCATCTGAGCTGTATATATACGCTGCAGCCAAAAGAGAATCCAAAGCCCTCGAGCCCTCTTTCTCTCTGCCTTGTGCTTCTGCCTGCAGCACCAGCAGGAGAGAAGAAAGAGCAGCCTGATCTCTACTTGTCCGATATCAATAATCAGATCTTTCCTTCCTTGCAATTATTGCCACCTCAGTGGCTCCGTCTCTCTTTTTCTTCCATTTTTCGGTCTCAATCTATCGCCAAGAAGCCATGGACGAAAGAATCCCACCTCCTGCTTACTTCCAGTACTCCCCTTCTGGTGTCCACTCATCTCCTTCCCCTCACCACTCCATGAGGTCTCCGGCCACCTCCGACAGGGAAAGGTTTGCCTCCCCCCTCCTTTTCTCTTGTGCTGTGGTGCGGGTCTTGCGATTCTTTATTTCCGGCGGGATTTGGAATTGTGGTATTTGCTCTTAATTGGTTCACTATTTCTTCTGGTTTGGTTGTTTCTCACTCTAGGATGGTTTTCTATTACTTTTGCTTTTGATTTGTATTTAATTGCTGAAATTCTTAGGGGGTTCAGTATTCAGGTGACTTTGATAGTGTTAGATGTTGAATCTTGAGCTGCTTAAGTATGCTAGTTCATAACAATTGTTGTTTATGATGCCATTTTACGAATTTTCTTCACGATTCCGTATTTCTCTTTGTGTTGCTTCTTTTGGTTTAATTGTATGTGTTGTGTCATCTGCCGAGAAAAAGGAAGTTAATGACTTGCTGGTCACTTGTGCTATGAGGGCACATTGTATGACTTCTAAAGTTACTTGTTTGTTGTTGCATTTGCATAGCTACTTGTTGAACAGGGCACCGCCCATACCATTTATATCTGTGACCAGTACGATGTTGGAGTTGGTTCTACATTGCATGTGTCTTTCAACAATTGCATGAAATAAACAGATAGCATATGTATCAAATGCATAGGCAATTGCGGTCCAGAAAAGTCACGGCTTGTGCTGTCATTGTGATTTCTATCAATGTTGGGCATCTCTGTTAGCGGGCCTTATTTTAATGTTTTGTCCAATTCTTGCCATATTAAAATGTGTGAAGCTGTTTCGCAGGTATTTAGCTGAACTTTTCGCTGAGAGGCAGAAACTGGGGCCATTTCTGCAAGTATTGCCATTTTGTTACAGGCTTCTAAACCATGGTATGTGTTTTCTTGTGCTTCTAGTCTGGCTTTTGTAATGTTCAATTGTCCAATTTGGCTGTTGTCTTTGCTTCTGATATGCATTTTTCTCATTTTCTGTAATTTGGCAATCTTAGAAAACTCATTTTGATGATTCTACTTTGGGAATACATATGCTAGTGTATTGTGGAGTTGTAATTTTAGTAATCTTTCAATGGATCGATCATAGTGATATTAGAGCTATACCATCTCTTACCCGGTTGAATATTTATAGATGGCACTAGAATTGGATTTTCTTTTTTTTTTTTTCCTTCTCTTTTCGGAAGAAGAGCCAAATATATATCTTGCATCTCTGCCTTCTTTTTCAGATCATATACACGGATAAGTGTCTTAACTTTTGATGTTCTGAGAATTGTATGGCCTTTTTTGTTTTCCTGCTATGTTCTTAGATGGTCTTCCAATTTACTGTCACTATTTTCCATGAACTAAACAATTGCTACATGTGTTAAACCTCTATCTTGATTTGATTATTGAACTGTGCTCATTTTATTTTCATGTCAACTGAACATAAGCGTTTCATGTTATTTACTTCATTTTGTAGATTGAAAATGATGTTCTGCTGCATAAGGCTCGTGCCACAAGATTTTTTTTCCTTCTATTCATCATAATGATTGAGATGACAATGTTGTTGCAGAAATTGTGCGGGCTTCTGGTCTTGCACCTAACCAAACCTTTGTTGAGCATGAGAGAATTGAGCCTTTCTCTCCATTAAGGTTAACTGGGCACCCACCTATTGGTGGACCCATGGATCTGGAGGGGCGATCAGGGATGCACACAGAGGTAATGATGCCATAATTTTCCTTGAGAACCATATTTATATATGTAATATCAGGTTCAGTCCTCTCTCTCTAGACTTACATATGTTGTGTTCCTTTGTATCCTTCTCTTAAAGTTTGTGCTTTTATTTTGTATTATAAAAAAAATCTTTATGCTCCGATCTAATATAGTAGCTGCAGTCTTCTATCGATACTGTGTGGTATATTCAAACTGCGGTCATAATACACAAGGTTTCAGTTAGATATTATTTGGTCCAAGAATGTAACAATGAAAGAAAAAAGAGAGTAATAATTCAATTTTTAGAGTAAACATATCTTCATTTTCTGAGAATGGACATCATAGCTTGTACATTTTAATTAATATCTGATATAAAACTGTGCCTGCTTTTTAATTGCATTTGTGTGGTCAACCTCGAAAGATAATGTTATCTCTAAAAATATTTTAAGTTCACCATTACACTTGATGCCCTTAATTTCTGTTATTTTAGTTGTCCCATCAATATAGCAGTTTTTCTGTTAAATGTTTGATTTTGCAGTGCTACACTTGAATGGAAGTGTCTGTCATATCATTTGTTTCTTAAGCCCATCTCTCCATTTGACAACTTTTTTACTTTTTTGGGTGCTCTCTTTGTATCAATTAACCAGTAGAATATAAGTTGTGGCCATCACGAGCAACTCTTGCCTTGACTTCCAGGGCATACACAATTGCCAGTCAAGTTTAGTTTGCGTCCTGATGTTGAGGGTCAACCATGAAGCAATTAATTTAGATATATATACATATATAGTGGTTATGTTGGAAGAGATTGAGTTATAAGGATTTGTCAGATTAATTGTACTCCAAATATTTGATTAAGTATAAAATTTCTTTTGGTCTTGAAATTCATATCAATTAGCTATGGTGTTGAAACCTTCATCAGGGCACCTAAAAGGTAGTTTCGGTGATTGTTGCATGGTACAAAAGCAGCAATTACACTCAGTCTTGTCGTGAAGTATTGGATTCAGTAAGAGGGATAGAAATATAACTTTCATCAGATTAGATGCATTCTTTAACTTTGGAAGTTTGAATTGATAGGAAGTATACATAAATTAAGCTCCAAATACAATGTAGGTTCTCTTGTAATATGATGATGGTTGGCGGACTTGTTTTGCTATCTGTAAGCTCAATGATGAGGATGAGTAGCAAGTGTTCAAGTCAATGATGCTCGCCCATTTCAAAGAATGTATCCAATGAGGGTTCACTAACGGATGTAAGAATCTACCACGCTCGTGTTAAATCTTGGATTTTCCTCCCTCCCTCATGTCTTTACCAACTTCTTGGTACAAGATATGCCACTATTTCCTCATATATTAACCACTTAATATATTAAATCTAACATGTCCTTTATCCAAAGATTATTTTGAGTCTTGAAAAACGAAAGGAAAAGAAGAAGTTGTGGATTGCCTAGCAGGCATAGCAAGATATTCATTTGACCTTGTGTTAAATAATTGGGGAACACATTAACACATAAACACAGCTGATTCCATTACCAAATGTTGCAGCATCTTTGTTGAATTGATGAAAACTATTCTCTTCTTTATCCCTTTTCGTGTAAAGATTTGCAGACATGCTTGCTCTGGGGTGTGAGAAGTGTCGGTGATGTTCATCATGGAACCCAAGTTCATGCCTCCTGCTTGACCAATTATCTATTATAGTAGCATACATATAGTACATGGTTGAAAATTAGAAAACTATAAGATTGGAATGTTATCAATGCTGACTTGGATGTCATGAGGTCTTGTTTGGCTACTAGATTACTGATGACTTTTGTTTTTAAGTAATTGAATTTGGGAGGAGCTAATACAAGATAGTTTGCTCAATTCATTTCACACAAAATATATTATGCATACTACATGGGGTTAACTTTGATATAAAAAGTTATTAGTAAAATTTTATTTGTTGTGATTTTGAAGTCTGGCTGCTTTTGTGTTCAGGAAAATGAATACTTTCAAAGGATTGGGGTCCTTCAATCATCAACTTCCGGGTGGAACGGAACTCCTGGAGTTACTACGAGCCCTGTTGTGAAGAAAGTCATCAGACTAGATGTTCCTGTCGACAAGTATCCTAACGTATGTGAATTTTATTTAGCTTCGACTCTGGTATATGAAGATTGACTAAGACTACTGCTTGGTTGTAATTTAGTACAACTTTGTTGGCCGTCTATTGGGACCACGAGGGAACTCCTTGAAAAGAGTTGAAGCTTCAACTCAATGTAGAGTTTATATACGTGGCCAGGGTTCAGTGAAAGATTCTGTAAAGGTATGTCCATGCCTTGTATTATTATGTCTTTTCATGATATCATTGGGATGCATTTGCTTTTTTTCGTATTTATTGTCTGACCTATTCAAGTACTGGTAAGGTTTCCTTTATTCCTTTGAATTCTTCTATTTTACCTAGATTACCAATCAGTTTCCGACATCTATGGTTCTCACTGGATTCCAAAACAATTACTTATGGTTGTTGTGTTTGTTATTTGGTCTCTTTGACTTTCATAAGACCTCTCATGTTTGAAGAAATATATGCCATCATATTGATTGTGGACTCGCTCTTCAGTGCCTACATACTTGAGAACATTTCCTTGACAGCAACTGTTTAAATGTGTCTTGAAAACCTAAAATTATCTTTTGGTCCTATATGCTTAATTTCTTATCCTTTATTGAAATATGAAGAAACTCCATATTATTATTCTTATGTGTTTCCATTTTTCTTTATCTCATCTCTTGCTGTTCTTTTGGCAAATCAAAATATTCTGCAATTTTACATATTCCAGCACAACACACAGCAGGTACTGGTGCCACATGCTGCCTTAGTACAAACTCATCAAGGGAAGCCACACAAAATCCTTGTTCTGTTTCATTTGTTTTACCTTGCATTTGATTGTTGAGTTACTATAGTGAGTGATAATCAGGTAGCATAACGTACTCGTCTTTACACTTGTTTATATAAGTAAATGCACACTCAATTTTTCATAGCCTTCCATTGCAACTTCTAGCATAAAGATAAGTTGTTGATTGGTGATGGTTCCTCTCTTTATCCATCTTTTGAAGTTTTTATATTTCCAAGTGTATCATTGCAAATGGTTTAATGTAATTTTAACAAATTTGCGAAAAGGCTATTCATGTTCACTACCACTTAATTGATGTCTAAAAACAGACTAGATACTCTTACTCTACCCAAACTAGTGTATGAAATTATAGTTCAAACGCAAGTCCAAAACATGAGACAATTAATCATGTGTAACTGAGGAAGTTCTTCTATGTTACCTTGTTGTCACGGACTTAGCTAGAATTGTCTAAGTCGTAAGGCAACCTTGCATTATCCGTCTACAAAGAATCAACATAGTTGCAACCTCACTCAGGTCCCGAAAGACCTGTAAAAGAGCAAATTGATTAGTTCGAAAACGAGCGATGGACAAGGCTCGACGTTCGCGAAAAGGGCAGTTGTACAAGAAATTCAGCAAACACTTAATGTGCAATAGATAAAAGAGAGGAAAGAGAAAACAAGGATTTTAGAAGACAAACAAACAATCGCAAGTTTGCAAACGATTGCTCACTGGGTGTCGGGTGCGTTGGCAAGTTCTCATAAGCTTAACATATGAACTTGTGAATCCAATCAGCACCCAATACTACCCCAAACCCCGATCTAGCCAGGTGCCACTCGAGGGGTTTTGGGGTGCTGAGATCGTTGATGTTTTTATCCGCACTACAGCCTGCAAAAAGCAAGCCATGACACGCAAAAACTAGGCTATTTTGGGGGGGTTTTGCCCATTCTAGTGAGGGGGTCACTCTGTACACAAATACACAAGAAAGGCAAAACGTGTTGTCAAACATATGTACAAGCAAATAAAAGCAATAAACGATTCGTTGACGAAGGTGTTGCAGGTGCGTGACGATCGTTCGTGACATTCTCCCCCACTTCAATTGTTAACACCCTCATCGATGCTTGCTGGTAGGCTTTGATGATTGTTTTTTCGTGTCGCAAGGCGCCTTTGGGCTCCCAACTGGCTTCTGTTTGAGGAAGCTTTCGCCACTTCACCAAGTACTCGGTCTGCTCTGTTTTGTTGGGTAGCTTTGTCTAGCGATCCGCTAAAATGGTTTCAACTCGCTTTTTGTAGGAGGCTCTGGTGGGGGTAGTCTTGTTGGAACATTTTGGGAAGCATATTGTAGATTTGATTGGTAGGCTTTCAAGTTGCTTGCATGGAAGACATTGTGAATTTTGAGCCATACTGGCAACTACAATTTGTACGAGGCATTGCCTACCCTTCTAATAATCGGGAAGTGCCTTTTATACTTGCACACCAGTCCCTTGTACACTTCATGCCTAAGGAATTGGAGTGATGCTGGTTAGAGCTTCATTAACACTAAGTTGCCGACTTTAAACTCCTCTGGTTGTCTTCCCAAATTTGCTCACTTCTTTATCTTTTTAGTCACCTTCTCCAAGTAAGCCCGGGCAATATCTGCATTTCGGTGACATTCCTTTGCGAAGTGATATGCTGACGGACTACTCCTGGTATAACTGATCACCACGGTGTGAGAAGTCAAGGCTGATGTCTCGTAATGATCTCGAAGGGGCTCTTGTTGAATGCAGAGCTCCGCGGTAAGTTGTAGGAGTATTGGACTGTCCAATAGCTTCACTTAATCCCGTTGGTTGGAACTCACGTAGTGCCGAATATATTGCTCAAGGAACGAATTTATTCTTTCAATTTAGTCATCCGTCTGGGGGTGGAGGCTTATGGAAAAGTATAACTTAGATCTCAACAATTTAAATAGCTTGTTCAAGAATCGTTCCAAGAATCGTGCATCTCGATCGTTGATAATATTGTGCCGGACTCCCAAATACTTCACCAAATTCTTCATCATCAACTTAGCCACCTCCTCCGCTGAGTAGTGTAGGGGTGCAACAATGAATGTTGCATACTTTGAAAACCGATTGACCACCATGAGTATTGATCTGAGTCCCTCTACTACTTGCAAGCTTGATATGAAGTCTAAGGAAATGCTCTCTCACGACCTTTCTGGTACGAGCAACGGCTCCAAAAGTCCCATCGGCTTTTGCTGCTCTACCTTATCTTGTTGGCAAGTAAGACACATTTGAACATATTCCTCCACATTAGTCCTCATCTTCGGCCAACAGAAGGCCCTCTCTACGAGAGCCAACATTCGGTGCATACCCGAATGTCCTGCCTAAAGGGAATCGTGAGACTCTCTCAAGAGTTCACACCTCAAATTGTCCACTCAACGAACATAAACTCTATTCCCTTTAGTGTTAGACGAGTCCCTCGTAGACCCAAAATCATTGTGTCTTTCCTTCTTTGATCAATTACATCAAGATTACTGCTTGAGGATCATTGTACAGTCCATCCCTGATCCTAGAAAGGAAGTCGGAGTGCAGTTGACTTGCTTGGCCTCCGCATTCCAATTGCATGACATTTACCAACTCCACTTTCTTGCTCAATGCATCAGCCACGACATTTGCTCTTCCGGACTTGTATTCCATTGCCATATCAAATTCAGCTAGGAAGTCCTGTCACCATGCTTGCTTTGGAGAGAGCTTCTTTTGAGTTTAGAAGTAACTCAATGCGATGTTGTTCGTCCTTAGCACAAATCGCATTCTGAGAAGGTAATGTTTCCAAACTCGTAGACAATAGACCACTGCTATCTTCTCATTCTCGTGAACAAATTGCTCGGTCTAGTTGAGCTTGCGGCACTTGTAGGCCATCGGGTGACCCTCCTACATAAGTACTTCCCCAATAGTGAAGTCTGAAGCATCTGCATGAACTTCGAAAGGCCTCCTATAGTCTGGCAATTTGAGTACTGGTTCTTCCAACACAGTAGTAGCCTTGAAGTCTTGAAATGTTGCTTCACATTTGCTTGACTATCGCTAAGGCTGCTTCTTCAACAACTCCGTTAGTGGAACTGTACGCTTCGAGTACCCAATTATGAAGCACTAATAATAGTTGACGAAACCAAGGAAAGATCTCAGCTCCGGTACCTTAGTTAGTGTTCACCACTCCGCCACAACTTACACCTTCGATTTGTCCATCCGAATGGAACTTTCGTCGATTTGATGCTCTAAGTATAAAATCTTCATCTGAGCAAAGTAGCACTTCTCTCTTTCCACGAACAAAGTGTTCTCCCTGAGAACTTTAAAAATTATTCAAAAGTGCTCGACATGCTCCTCGAGCATTTGGTTGTAAACGACGATATTGTGCAAGTAAATAACTACAAACTTGTCTAGTTACTCCTTGAAAAGTTGGTTCATGAGAGTGTAGAATGTGGCTGGAGCGTTGGTTAAGCCAAAATGCATCACCAAGAACTCGAATGCCCCATACCTTGTCACATAGGTAGTCTTTGCTTCATCGCCTTCAACAGTGCGCACTTGCCAATAACCTGACCAGAGGTTGAGTTTAGAGAAATACTTTGCCTTGCTCAGTTGGTCTAACAAGTCCGCGATGAGCGGGATGGGTACTTGTTCTTTACCATCACCTTGTTTAGGGCTAGATAGTCGATGCATAATTAGAGGCTCCTATCTTGTTTATTTTGAAAGAGGATTGGAGCTTCGAATGATGTTTTAGAACTACGGATGAGCGGTCACAAAAACTGGGCCATTCTGGTGAGCGGTCGCTTTGTAGCCTCATAAATTGTTCTTGCTTACAGTTTTCAAGCGAAACACACAAAAACAACACAAAACATGCTATTAAACATATGTACAAGCAAACAAAAGCGACGAACAATCCATTGACGAAGGTGTTGCGAGTGCACGACGATCGTCCGTGACATTGTGGACTTTAAATCGTGCTTTTTAAGCAATACGAGTGTCATATGAACATTTAGCATCTTGTGGATATTTCTATAGAATTTAATTCACAACTAATGTCATTTTATTCTCAGAAATTATCAATTCTTACATAAGCCATACAAGTTCCTGTCGATTAATTCCAATTTTCTTTATGAACAGGAAGAAAAACTTAGAGATAAACCTGGATATGAACACCTTAACGAGCCACTGCATGTACTCGTTGAGGCAGAGTTTACAGCAGACATAATTGATGCTCGTATAAATCAAGCTGTCGCCATATTAGAAGATCTTCTGAAGCCCGTGGTACATATCAAGATCTCTCTCTCTCTCTCTCTCTCTCCATTTTCATGCAATCACATTAAGTGTTAGTGTTTTGATGGGACTATTCAATTTATCATCTTTCAGGAGGAATCTGTGGATTACTACAAGAAGCAACAACTGAGGGAATTAGCTATACTGAATGGCAGCTTGAGAGAAGAGAGCCCTCATATGAGTCCCAGTGCATCCCCGTTCAACAGCACCAGCATGAAACGAGCAAAAACAGGGCGTTGATCCGTGATCTTTTGGCAGCATCAATTCAATCTTGGCCAGCTGAGAATTTTCTGATACACATGGCTACTAGTTGATGATGTTGGGATCATTAGCAGGGTTGTGGAACCAGCCAGATGATCTCTAATCAGTTCTTCAGATTGGTCATATCCTTGGATAGAAATGCATCAGTGGAGAGAATTTCCTTGACTTCAGCGGCAACGTTGCTCTTGAATTTGTTTGATTGCTTATTCTTTGTGCACTTGGGTTCTTTAACCAAAGTTACAAGCATCAGAAAACTTAATGGTGTGAGCTGTCTTACAACTCTTGGTAGTGATGTATGTGTTTGTTGTTGTAATCATTTACAGGTTGGACTAAATGACCAATGATATAGTTATAATATAATCTGTTCAGTTCACCTTTCTATGATGCCTACCTTTCTTTATTCCTAAATTATCTCATCCACATCACAGTGACTGATGGTGCCCTCCCTCGAACGCAGTTAGATTGAAAGTTTGAAATCCTATTCCACAATTCTATATACCTATAACTTTTTATTGGGGCAGTATTTTTTCTTTGTATGTGATGATAGATGAGATTTTTCTAAAGGAAATCTCGTTGTTTAGTTAAGAAATTTTTTTTTTTCGACATATATAAATAGACATTATATCAAACTAACTGAAGTGTGTTTTTGCTTTTACATTTCATTCTATCATGGTATCAGAGCCTTTGTCTTAGAGTAATACTTATCTTCTCGTTGCATTTTTTGCTGCTAGGATTGCAATCTACCACCGCTTGTGCAACACCTGAGTAGCGATGCCACCACTTCGGCCACATAGCTCCGAAGGCTCCCTGTGAGAGTCCAAGTGCAAGTGCTGCGAATGACGCTCTCTTCTCGTCGTCGTTTGATCCGGAGGCTGTCCTTCTTCATCGGTCATCGGCGAAAAGTCGCTCTCTAGCAGATCTGTGCCCTCTTCTCCGACGGCTACAATCCATTGCACCTTCCCTCCAATATCACTACAGCCTCTCTACCGCACTGCAAACAGCGTAATCCATTGCACCTTCTCTCCAACAGTGCTGCGGCTTCTCCACCGCACTGTAAACAGCGTCGCAATGCTGCAGCTTCTCTATCACACTACAAACAGCACAACACTGTAGCTGCAAACAGCATTGCACTACTGCAGCTCTCTCCAGAGCAGTCTCCAGACCACATCATTGCCAGGCCCAGTACTAGCAGCATGGTCTCCAAAACCTTCACTTTCACTAACTCTGCTGCTACTTGACGAGAAATCTGTGAAGTGAAACTTAGTCATACCCGGAACGCCTCATCTATTATACTCGTGCGAGCATTGAAAATCGAGCAGAAAGAATTGTGGCAGATTCATCTTTATCCTCACAAGAGGGACGAGGCTTGCTTCAAAGGTGTCAGAGAACTCACGGTCGAAGCAGGTAGTGAGGCCCTTCCATGCACCATCAACCACGATGCTCCGGCCATCACTGGCGGATATGTCGGTAACCTCTTCCATGACTTCAACGATCTGCTCGTTTTCCCTCTTCCTGACTGCTTGACAGAGAGGTGCAGTTCATGGTGACCGACTTCAATAACTGATATACCACCAGATGAAGGTGCTGCATCACCCTCCCACGGCCAGCACTGCTCCCCCTTCTCCCTCACCTAAACTACAGCAAGTGGTTGATTACCACGTCTCCTGAAATCCCCTCCCCCTCCTCCGGACCAATTGCCATATCTTTCCGCCGTCGCTTCTCTGCACCAAGCAGTTGACCCTCCTTTTGCGATCATTCCCTGGAACTGTCTTGAGAAATCATAGTACTTTTCCACGTTCAGACCTTATCTCCATCAATGCAACAATTCTCATCTCATTCAAATTATCCAAAAGTGATAACTACGTATTCTAACATGCTCAATTCTCTAATCTCCTATTTGCTATGATCTACTAGGCTACGTCGACGGCTCTCTCCGTTGTCCACCAACGATGCTCAACATCCCAAGAGCACTAAGTCTTCATGTGACACCTTTGTCGAAGCTTGGTGCAAGTTGTAAACCACCTTGGCAAATCATTCACGTACTCGCATGCTCAGTCTCCTATCCAGTCTCATGCAAACAAAACAAGAGGGAAGTACTATTATCGATTATCTACAAAATATAAAAATTATCATCGATAACTTAATCATGATAAATCATTTCCTTAGTGATAAAGAAGCCATTATCCATATCCTTAACGACCTCGAGAATAAGTACAAGAAATTAACAATAACAATACAAGCACATAACTCATTAATGTCATTCGAAGAACTCTACGACAAGTTAATTGACTTTGAGATATATCTCAAATGCGAGGACAAACTAATTGAAGTGTGCTTTTGCTTTTACACTTAATTCTATCAGTATACATTTGACAGTGATTTTACCAAAATACAAGCACACACGAGCATTTTAGACAATCCAAATAATCCAAATTTTACATATTTTTCATTTTCTGTTTTTTTTGTTTGTGTGTCTAACACTGGCTGGTTGATTTTGGATGCTGGTTTATTTTGGGAGCAAAGCTTTATGAAATTCCAAAGAAACGATGATGTGCTGATCAACCTCAAATGAGAACCCCCGGAATTAAAAATGAATGTTTTCCCAGAGGAAGCCAAGCAAGCAGTGTTTAATTTTAACACATTATGATAGCAATCAGAGTGATGAAGGAGAACGATAAAATTTTAAGCTGTAGGACTGACCTGAAGAAGACCTTGGGCTTCATGGGGAAAACTTATTTGCTGGGTTGCTGCGGCAATGATAAACTTTGAGCTGTAATAGGGTTTAAGACACGGTTTTCCTGTTGTTACCAAACAAAAAAGCACCATCCGAGTCAGTTCAATCGTTTTTTCATGATGGAATGTAGGCAATAGGAAAACTGCTACGAGGACAAAAGCTGCCTTTATGACTTGTTTACCAATCACTGGAAAATAATTTTACCCGTAGGAAGAATATATGAATCTGGTCCAATCCACTAGTTGCAACCAAAATACAAATTAAAGTAGTTTGTTTTCGATAGTTTCTATATGCCATTACATATGGAAACATTTTGCATTAGTAGGAAAGATTATGTGCTTTTAAGTATCTTCTTCTAGCTCATTCTATCCCCATTTCTGGATATCTCTTGCAAGTTGCTTTTGTCAGCTTTCTTGTACTCCCCCCAGAAGTTCATCAAATAGGGCTTCAATCTGATTCCTGAAAGAAAAGGATGAGAAACATCGAGGAGTTATGCTTAGCAATAAATTAAAAACAACCAATATTTCAACTTTTGACGTTCCAAGATTAGTGCTGGCAGTATGCCTCAGAAGAACACAGTCAGCAAGATAGTCGATATTTACTGACATATCAATGCCTAGACTAGTCTAAAAATCATACGAGAGAAAAATTAAAAAGCAAACCAAGGGAGGGGAGAAAATAGATTATTAGAGTATATATAACACATCAACAGCCTATTAAAACCAAAGGGAAGCTCGGCAAAAGAGACATCCATGCACCACAATAAAACATAGATTTGCCACGATTGGATTATAGCTCAACTGAACAAACGTGAATTGCATGCGGTATACCTGCATTGGAAAGTTATAAAGGTTCTTCAAAACTTTCACCTCGATCATCTTAACCATCAATCTGATTTTAATAAAAACAAACTAACATGATAATGTGACCAAATCATGTAAATGATTGAGAAGATAGCTTTCCAAGGAGACCTCTATAACTTTCTTACCCTGCATAGAATTAAGAGAACATGTTTCGGTTTGCACCCCTGACCAAGAGTGGCTCAGACCTTATAGATTAGGCACTCTCCAGTACTTGAAAGCCACTCCATATTTACCCCATAATGTCATCGAATCATCATCATTACAACAGCTAAGACAGCTATTTAACTCATTGAAAGCTATCATGTATAATCTCTAATCTTTACTTCTTCAATGTAATTAAAAAGAGAGAGAGTTAACATTTGAAAGAATTCCGGCGACACCTAGAAACAACAACGAGACAATCTAGTAGAAAAAGACATTGAAAGCTAGCTGGCCAAAACAACTTTATTTTCATTCATAAAGAATCATAGAATCATATACCTTCCATAAACCTGCAACTGATTAAATGCATAAGAACTGGAAAGTCAAAGAAGGAAATAGAACACAACTTAGAGTTATCAATCATACTACAACAACATAAACAATGATACAGCAATCTCATTTCTTTAGCATGGTTTCTCTTTTTCAATCAGTTCCAAGCAATCTAAAATTTGGTAAATCTGCACTTGTTTTTAGCCGTAAAGACTAACTAGATCAAATTAGCAATTTCCCAGCTAAAATTGTACTGGTCCAATCTGTATCGGCTGGATCAGATCAGATCAGACCAATATGGCAAATCATGTAGAGTGGTGACAAATATGAAACTTCGGAACTTCACAATCATACAAAAAATTCTAAATTTACATTGCTTCCAAAAAGTATATAATGATTAATGATGAAGTAAAATCAGGAAAGAACTCAAGATACCTCTGATTCTGAAAATAGCTAACTGCAGAAATGTAAACTATTTATTGCTTACCTTGCAAGACAAAAAGAATAGAATGAAGGTAATTTAACAGATGTGGCAGGAATGCAATCAAGAACTGAGATCATCAACACCACTGCAATTATATGAAAAGTTTCCAATCCTCACAAGCTAATATGGAACTCACCGTTCCCGTGAAAAGGTCTTCACTTCTTGAGGAGCATGTCTCTGAACTCATCATTTGACTTTGGCTTCTCATTATCTTGATCAGGCTTTGCTTCCCTTTTAGTCCATCCAAGGGGCTTCACAAGAGCTCTTGGTGCAGCAAACGTGACACTCCCAGTAAACTTCCCACTACTACCACGCTTATCCACAATGGTGGCTTCAGACTCATCTTCTTTCCTGATACTGTTACCTCTCGCAAACCTTTTACCTGCATAATCAAAATATTTGGCTTGTACAGAAAAGGTGCAGCAGATTTCAACAGGACACATACTTCATTTACTAGACCATTGTTTTCAAAATGTAAATTGTCAATGATAATTTATTATGTGCAGGCATTTTCACTCAATTTAAAGACACTGTATAGGCATTTGTCTCTTATGCATCCATCTCAATACTGCTCAATAATGCTGAGATATCAAAATAAGGGTGAGCACCAGTATCATAACAGGGGGTCCTGAGATGCACAACATTTTCTGAAAAAAAGCTAAAGAGAATCAAAAGTGACAATCATCAATACTACAATGTGAAAAGATGCAAAACCCAGAATCAGTTTGGATTCTATAATAAAGGGATCAAACTAGAAGATGGGGTCAAGGAAAGATGAGAAGAGACGACGTACAATATTACCCTATAACTAAAGAGGGTGTTTTCATAACTTGAACAATGGTCATCAGGGCCTAAAAAACAACCTTTTGTCCCAAGGCTCACCCTCAACTTATAACTTGAAAAGAAAATAATGAACCTTGATCCGAAAAGCCAAGCAGACCTTAGTTAATATGGTACATAGCATTCTTTGTTAGGATCTGAGGCAAATCTTCCAAGTTCTACCAGATAATCTAAGGCACTGTCAGATAAAGGTCATCACTTTTCACCACAAGGACAAGACTGATATGATTACATTTAATACAAATACGGCTGCTCAAGCCCCACTAGAAAGCTCCCAGATCAACTTAACCAAGTAGTGGAGTTCAAGACAAAAGGAGTGGTATAACCTATATGGCATACCCTAACGTCAAATGTAAGACCAACAGCCTCCATGCCAGTTTCACAATATTATTTTGCATTGCCATAGCAGCAACAGATGATTGCCTCTTCATTATGATAAAGACAACAAAAATGAGGAGGGATCAAAAAGGAGAGTGATACTACAAGGTGTGTCAGGCCAATAGCTTTGTAATAATACCAAGAAACAAGGCTTTCATTTTCATTTGTAATAATACTAATAAGAGTGATGTGTCGGCGTAAGACACACAATATGGCAGCATGCATAGCAGCATGTTCATATATGTGAACTAGCAACAATTTATGGAAGGCAAATTGAAAGCAGAGAGAAACATGTCTGAACGAGAGACAATTTGTTATCAACAATTTAGGAAAGAACATCCTTTGGAGTTGCAACTTCACCAAGTAGCATCTAGATCCATAACAATCACAATAGAATAAAGAATTATACCGAACCAGCATTAAACCATTCTTGAGCATAATTGTCAAAGGATTTTGCTTAATGGTACATTTAGGATAAAGAATTTGCCCTTTCTTAAAATTTTAGTGACCATTTGGAGTAGCACTCTTAAGTGCAAAGTAAATAAACTAACCAATTAGCACACCATGGGCTGCTGATGTCTTGCTACCATCTAGGATTCTCTTTTGGCTATGTTTTGGGTCTGACCGTGCAATGCTTAATTTCTTCCCAAGCAGCTTCTGCTTGTTCTTTGCAACAGCTGCTGCAAGATGTTCATCATCTGAAAAATCTACATATGCTAACCCCTGCATTAATTGCAAAAAGAAAGGAAAATATTTTTAATTAACAAATGAAAAATATAAAGCATAGCATGCATTTGTGACCTGATAGCTACAAGTTGCAATTTCGTTAAAAGTACCAATCTATCGATCATTAAACTGAATTTCACAAACATGAATCAAAATAGAGAACGACAAAGGGTCTATCGGCATTCACGATGGCCTGATTATACATACTGGCAAATGTTGCATATGCATGTGGATTGTTGTTGTAAAATCACAAGTTCTACATAATAATGCATTTTTTTGCACCCTAAAACACAGTAGCCATCGGACCTAATAAAAAGAATGGAAACAGATCAAACAATTCCTGTAATCAAATTTGCCTGACAGTATATCAGCCATTTGCTGCATCACTTATGTTTTCCTTTTAAATCTGTTTAAGGATACAACATTTTGTAAAGCCAAACTCCATAAGACTCAACAAGCCAATAGGAAGGAAACATGTGGCAAACAATAAATGTGATTGACACAACCCAAGAATCAAAGTCGGCAGATCTAGGATGGAGGTTGCTGATGGCCCTTATGAATGGGTAACCTGCCATTATTTAAGGGTTGCCCTCAATAAACCACAGTACTCCAAAGGCCATCATCAATGGCGTAATAGGTCTGCAAACCTCATTTTATGCAAATGAGGGTTCACCAGGTAATGTACCAACTCCTTCCATCCACCTGCATTTACTTCTCTCAACTATCTACTAGCCATCCAATGTTCACTCTTTGGGCATAGTTGGACCCATCAGGCCCACCCCAACACCACGTTCTCTTTACTTGCAGGTTGGAACATGAGGTGTGTGTGAATGCATTTTTACAGCGTCTCTGTCCTGTTGTGGGGCTCATTTGACATAGGGGCAAAACAACAGATGGTCAGCCCCAGAATCCTAAGTCAGCTGGGAGACCAAATATGAAAATATAATGTGTGAATGCTTTTTTTTTTAACATTTTACAATTGGACTTGGGCATGTAAAGTTATAAACAGATAGGAGAATTCTGCAATCAAAGTAGCACACAAACAGAGATGAGATGGAGACTAAACCCTTGGTCCGCCTGTTTTTCTATCTTTTAACAATCGTATAGCAGTAACTCCACAGTCCCTGAAGAATTCACGTAGGTGGTCCTCATTTGCCTGAAATGGAAGTTTGCTTAAAATTTGTATTCAAAAATATTCTGTCATCCATTATCAAGATAACAACAAACAATTATAGATTACTTGCCTCAACGCTGAGATTTGAAATAAATGCAGTGCACTCATCATTGTAGTGATTAGGCTTGGATTCCCTAGATTCTGAAGTTCCCACGGATTGATTGTTGGCTGCATCTGTGTCCAGCAATTTCTCCACTTGTCCTTTATCTGTTTCCTCAGCAAGTTTAATCTGTTCTGGTGCTCTTATAGAGTCTCTTTTAGATGCTTGCACAGGTTCAGATGTATATTTCTTTCTCTTTCCAGGAGGCTGTTTAACTTCCAGTGCTTTACCTATTTTCCTCTTTTGTGGTGCATTGGCTGCAGGAGAACCATCTTTATTGACAACCGATGCAAGGTCAACTTTGGTCTCCTGTTGATTGTTGAATGCCATGAGCTCTTGTAGTCGTGGTGCCACCTAAGAAGAACATTAATATCACACAAGAGGAAACAAAATGACAAGTTACAAAAAAAAAAATAACTCCAATAATTTATATATCATAAAAGAACATCAGAGTGAATCATGGGAAACATGAATTAAGATCGAGACTCCAAAGCAGAACTGGTTACTATAACTATAGATACATACCCAGTTAGACAAGCTCGCTAAAATATAAATAACTTAAGTACCTTAATAAATGCAAACTGAACAAGACATTCTAAACACATATATTGAAGCTGCTGATAAAGGCTTTTCAGGAAACTCATTTTGCAACAACTTACAACAATCAACACAGCTTGGGGACCACAGATAAAGATTATGAAACAGTCGCCTCATTGATGACCAGAACACCAAAATTCAAAATTTAAAAATCTCTTCCCTGGTAAGAGCAGGAAGGATTGTTACTAGTATTCAAACAACCAGCACCAACTACATTGTCAAAACAACTAGCTCACATGAAATCACCTCTAAGTCAATCGTAGAGATGAGAAGTACTAACTTGGAACCAAGTTCATAAAGGAAAAATTAACTTGACTTGTACCTCAAACATCATATGTTTCATCTTTAGCAAAAGATGAGGACTACCTTAGAGCTTCTGACAACAAATAACATTGATTTCTTAGACAACAAAGAGACTTCCACAGTTAAAACATAAAACCAATTAGAAAGGAGACATACCTTTTTCTGGGCAAGATCAAAGTCATCCAAGGTGCCGTGTTCCCTTTCAAACCGCAACCAGGAATGGCATACATCCTGAACAATTTGATGCTTTTAGGTCATCACAAGTATATAAATAAAATGATCTCCTAATTCTATACCATTTATTGAAAATTAAATCATAACACAAATTCCAAAGACACAAAAGCCAACAGAAGTAAACATTAAGGAATATGTTCTCAAAACCAATAACTTACATACGGTACTAAAGAGCAAAGAGTTAACAAGATGCAATGAACAATATCATCAATCAAGCTACATGCTACAGAGGATAATGCAGATGCTGAATATAATAAGTATCGAGAAAAGAAAGCAAAATACTATAACTAACTAAATGAGCAAGACAAGTAAAAGTCCATACTCAACAGCTATTCTAGAGTCTAGATTACACTACTTTATGCACGTGATCATTCCCATTAACTGTATAGTTGCTTTATCAACAAATTTAACAAAATATAACTAGAATATATTCAATAGCTTCACACAATCATCAATGTCTGAAGGGAAGTGTACATTCATTCACATTAAAATCTATGGCATGAACAAATATAATCTGTTGTTCTAAAAACCTTAAATTTTTAGGGCAGGAATGATGCTGGCACAAGAACCAGACTAAGAAGTTCTGAGGAAGGTGGGATCATCAAGGTGTGAGCAAAGGTTTACCAATCACCTTTTCGGTCTACTAAACACCTTAAGACAGTACAATTTGTTCTTGTTATATACTTCTTTTCCTCAAGATGACCTATGTATTTTATGTTGTTAGGATAGCTAAGGTCTACAGCAAGCAGTTCAATCAGACTGTTATCAGAAGTAAAAGCATAAAATCTCCAATGTTTTATGAGTTCAACATATCAGGACCATTATAGACTATAAAAATGACATGGTGTAATAATACACTCCTGTGGATAAATGGGCAAACCAATCATCTCCGAGCATAATGAATCAAACTGGCAGTTAAAATGTGAAAACAAGGAAAATGCGTCAAAATGTTCTATGTTAGTCATCAGTTAAATGATGCTTACCTCCGAACCTGTTCCTGAAAACCTTTTACTGTAGCATCTCTTGTAAATTGACCTTGCCTCATTTATTTGACCCAATTCAATTTCCATCGAGATATATGACAGCCAAATTTCCAGCATAGATCCACTAAAAATATACAAAGTTATTTAGAAAAAAAGAAAGAAATATATTTGTTTACAATTAATTTGCAACAAACAAAGAGCAGTACAAGTGAAATGAACCAATCAGCAATTTTACAAAAGCATATCACCCACATCAAGCTGGAAAACTTGGAAACAAGTAAATGAAAGACAGTAAAGACCTTTTCTTGAGCAAGTTTTCCCATACCCCACGAGCAGCAACGATATCATTTCCAAGCTTAACCTCTAATCTTGCCCAATACGAATGCAGATGCAATAGATCATCTGTACTCAGACACTCTGGCAATAAGAACTCTGTAGCACGCTGTAATCATGACAACATGAAGTACAAATCAGACATAATTTAAAGAACTCACAGGATAGACAATGAGTTAAGAAGAAAGCAAAACCTGAAATGTTTCTCTTATAAGGACATAGTCTAACCCATCCTCCTTAGAGCCAACCAAAGACATCCTTCGTCTTAAGCCATCCACTCGAGTGAGAAATAGATCCAGATACTACAACCAGAAAAGCATGCAAATATAAATTTAACCCATAATTATAAGAACAAAAAAAGTGGTCACAAACTACTTGAAAATTTTCAATGGAAAGTTGTTTGGAAAATATAGACAGAAAGTGGAAAGGTACTTGAGTGATAACAGTAACAGTTTTCGTATAACAATGCAAGATATGATATAGCTTGTTCATTGTAAATATTCAAAACTGATGCAAGTGTTTTCCGAAAGCATTGACAGGGTAAAATGTTGGAGAAGTCTCACATGCTATTCAAATTATATTGAAAAGATCTAGGCCTTGAACAATGCCTCCTACAAACTACTAAATTCTGCAGGTCATGCTGGAATCATAAATCTTCCATATGGAAAAAGTGCAGATTGATCTATTTTTAGCAACAACTTATCTTGTCAGTACAACACTATCACACTATCATTGTGTTTGTCCAAAATATGCATTTACCAATGACAATCCATAGAAGACCTTACTTCTTATCCATGTGTACCAGATCATCTACACATTCACAACAGTACCTTGGCACATAGCATGGTTATACTAACATATTCTGGCCAAACAAATAACCAGGTAATAAATAATTTAAAATCCCCGTATGGCTATTAACATCTGAGTCAACTCTTTTGAGTCAGAGCTCAGGTGTGGACTATAAGCTAATCGCCAAGTGCCAAAACATGGATGTAGTTTCAATATGGTCTCAGGTGCAACCTTAAAAAACGAGTTCATAAGTCAGGAGATCAATAAAGGATGAAGTTAAAACAAGCATTGATCAAATCAGAAAGCCTGCCACTAGCAATGTTTCTCTCATGATACAAAAGCGATGAGAAGGGAGCAAGATGCTGATATTTTGGTCTTTTAACAATGTTGAAATATGATGGCTCCATGTTGAACATAACTTTTCTCCAGAATCTATGAATAGCTAAACCCATCCACCTGAAAACAATAGTGGTAATGGCAATATTGAAATTAGTCCTTACACTTGTTATTAAGCTAGCAGCAATTCGGTGGTGTAACCAAATGAACACAAGAAGTTCATTATTGGTGATGGCAACAGATACAAGAGCATTAAGCCTAAAACTGCTTACAATAACATAAACAAGAACTTACATGAATGCATTTCAACATTACTTTTCTGTCTTTATGAACAGAAGACATCAGATAGGCAGCACCGTGATCTATCATTTTATATTATTGATAATTGGTTGTCCATTTTTAGAATTGTAAAATTCATGTTGTCAAAAATGTTGGGCACTATAAGGCACCAAGGTTCCTCAATGCACGAGATACTAGGTGCACTAAGTGCTTGACAATACAAAACTTATAAAAAATCTATAATTAAGAAACAAGACTATCATTAAAATAAAAAATTAGAGTTCCATATCATTTCATTTTCAAAATATCAGCATTGAATCATCGAATTACATTCATTTAACCATCTATATAGCATTAAAGTACTACCTTGTCCAAATCTAACAACAAGAACAACAAAATAAAAAAATATTAACATCAAAAGTCCAAAATTTTCATTAAGAAAGTCAATGATTAACAAAATTCATAGACTGTTATTAACAAGAGCTAACTATTATTAACAAAAATTAACATTACTATCAATGAGAAGCCCAGGTGAGGGGCTGAGAGCAGGGGAATGCAGAAAGGGGGGGCATTTGACTTGAGCCAAGATCTGATCCAAACTAGGAATATGATCAGATGCACCTAGGCTGACGTAGGTGCTCACTTGGACTACCCGTCGCCCAAGTGCTTGCATGGGCTGCCCAGTGCCTAGGCCCAGGCGCTTGACTAGGCAGCCCCCAAGCCCATGCGCCTCACCTAGGTCATCTTGAGGCTCAAACCCTGCCTCGCCTCTGCCGAGCACCCATTAATATTACTGATAAAAATCATAAAAGATGACAGAACTCAGAAAAAAATTAATATTGCATAGCACAAGGCTTGCCAACAGTTAATATACTCACTTGACATTTGCTCTTTGTGTTTCATACAAGCTTCCATGCAAGGTTTTCAACTTTGAGAACCAGAAGCAGAGAAGAAGAGGAGGGGAGAAGATGAAGAGGATGAGCTGATGGCAGAGAAGAAGGAAGGAGGCTACAGAGAAGGAGAGGAGGCCGAAGTGGTGGAGGGAAGAGTACCAATTCGATAGGGCTTGGGGTGGTGGACAACAGCTGACATGGGCAATGGTGGATGGCCCAAGGTGAAGAGGGAGAGGAGAGAGAGAGAGAGAGAGAGAGAGAGAGAGAGAGAGGCCAGACCCGGTCACATGGCTTACTGGGCAGTAACCCCTATATCACAAGTAGATTGCCCAATTTCATGTTCGGATCCATGGGCATTATGTACTAGTTCATCCAGTTTGTTGGTCCATGTTTGCAAGTAATATTCAACTGAAATAAGTATATATATAGCTCCAATCAAATGGACAATGGATACCTGATCTAAAACTTCTATAAAACTGAACTTGGTGTACAAAATAATCACATTCCTTCATATATATGTTAAGCATGTTTCACATAAAGATGGACATCATATGCAGCTAGGGACAAGTACATACAACCCCATATCTGATACAGGAATATTTTGCATTGGTTGCATGATAATACATGGACGAAAGGCATCTCCAGATACCCATAACAGGTACTCAATAAAATCAACAGTTTTCCAGCAAATACATCTCTAAATTTTGGACAATGTTGTATCTCGTCATGAACCAGAATATGTTTTTGGAATTACAATGCAATAGTTATCCAACAATAGGAAAACATAATTTAAGTGAACTTGAGGTTAAGCTTTCAAATTACATATTACCCAATATTTCAAGTTGAGAATATTTAAGGAACAAGTATTGTTGGTATGGTAAGATAATAAATCTATAATGGAAGCATTGATGAAACCCCGAATATGATCGAGTATCAAAGTGACATAATAAAACCCAGTGTCATCTTGCCAATACATTATACAAATTCTATTGATGACAATGATTCATTTCAATGTCATCTTTAAAGTTAAATGCATAGTGGGCTTAATATTAGCTAAATGACAGATAAAAATAATTAATATTCACTTATTAGCGTATAATACTTTGCATCAAACTAACTTCAAAAGTTTTAAAATAACCTCTTTGTAGTTTGGAAAAGCACATTGTATAGCTTGCTCAAAGACCTGAAAACAAGAACCATAAAATAGCAAATGCTTCTAGTCAAATGTAAAAGCAAAGCTAGAGACAGAACATTGTACAGCTTGCTCAAAGATCCACAGTAGTAGCAGAAATATTGAATCACACATGTCACAAAACAAAGTTTCAGTGTTGTCACTTTTTTAGACCCATTAAGTGCTAATAACACTCATATTGTTAACTAACATCAGTTTTGTGGCAGTTAATGCAAAAAAAAATAATATGCATAGTCCTGCTAAAGAAACTTATTCATCTAGTTAAAAAAATCTTGAATGAAATTCACTACTACACAGTTATCAAACTCAACCTCAAAGATTCACCAACTTTAAGTTTAATATTTGCTATCTTATTGAAGCAATTTGTTATAATAATAAACAAAGTATGAAAACTAATTTACTGATACATGAACTTATGAGAATTTTCAAGTTTGCTTAAACATGATAAGCATATATCCTGTTACCATGTATGAAGACTCATGATGCTGAACTTCATAATGCAAGCATGTGGTACAGCAAAAAGATAGCACATACTCCATCAAGACAGCAAAGCAAATCCTATGGCCTATTCTACAGTTTTTAATGGAACAATTTACTGGCTAACCTCTGACATGTATCACCATAATGTCACTTCAAGATCGAAACAGGACACCAATGCAACTCTTAACTGATCAGTTCTCAAAGCAAAGTTTTGAGGTCACTTGGTATATGCATAGGATGAATTCTTAGTTAAGAGAGTCAGCCTATCACTTTTTTCAGTAAGAAACTCAATGATACAAAACAATATTATTCTACCTACAACAAAGAATTCTATGTCATTATGTAATGTCTTAGGTATTGGTGATATTACCTTCTACAGCAAGAGTTTGTCTTGCTGTCTGACCACCATGCCCTAAGGTACTTAAATGCCCAAAAGAAGTTAAATACCCAATATGCCAAGTGGATTGAGTTTCCCAACGAATACTCTCATGTAATTAAACATTGTTCTTACACTCAGAACAATGCTGCTAATTCCCTTAATCGAATTTCTATAATTCTATCTACCATGAGTGTTAAGGTCATAGGATTCAAGCGATTAAAAGAAGAGTATATACCCAATGTCCAGACTTTAGTCACGTATATCAAGAAGTCTAAGAATGAAAACCATTGTGAACATATGGACTTTATTCTTAGGGATAGTTACTTTTTTCGATCTACTAGATTGTGTGTTCCCCGATCCTCCCTTCAAGACTTGTTTGGGAAATGCACACAGTTGGATTAGCAGGTCACCTAGGCTAAGACAAGACCATTGCATTAATCGAGGATAGATTTTATTGATCTTCCTTAAAGCGAGATGTTGCTCGAGTAGTGTCATAGTGTCGCACCTGTCAAATTGCCAAGACTCGCAAACACAATACTGGCCTAAATACCACATTACTCATTCCGCATTCACCACGACAAGATGTGAGCTTAGATTCTATTCTAGTTGTTGTTGATTGATTTTAAAAAATGACCCACTTTATCCTATGTAACAAGACCAACGATGCCTCACACATTGCTAAAATTGTTCTTTTAAGAAGTGATTAAATTACATGACTTGCCCTTAACAATGGTGTCTGATATGGATGTAAAATTTGTTAGCTACTTTTGGAAAACTTTGTAGAGACTGTTTAGTACAATATTGAAGTTCTCATCAGCCTTTCACCCTAAGACTGATGGTCAAACTAAGGAACCATTCTTTGGGAAATCTTCTTAGATGTTTAGTTGGAGAGAAATCCAAAAATTCGAACTTAACCTTACCCATTGTATAATTTATATACAATAACTCAGAGTCAACCGCTCCATCGGAAAAAGCCTATTTCAAACTGTTCTCGGCTATTACTTGCACGACTATTGACCTTGCACCCCTTCCACTTGACTATCATGCCTCAAAATCAGCTTACTCCTTCGCTCAACATATGTATGATTTGCATGCCAAGATTCGACGTAAATTGCCCTAAGTAATGAAAGTTACAAACTTGTTGCTAATGCACACCATAGAAGTCAAGAGTTCCAAGTTGGTGATTATGTTTGGTTCATGTTCGCCCTGAGATATTCCCTAAAAACTCATTCAAAAGTTTAAATGCTCGAGCCATTGATCCTTTCCCCATTATCCAAAAACTAGGATCTAATGCAATATTTGCTTGATTTACATTTCAACTTAAATTTTAGTCTAGTTTTTAATGTGGAAGATTTAACTCCATATCATGGTACTTTTGAGTCTCCTTTGTCAACCGATGTTCCTATAAGTGGCAATCCACCCAAAGCACCAATTCTCCCACAACACAAGGATGACGTAAGGGTCATTCTTGATAACTGCCTTATTACGTCTGCTACTAGCATTACTCAACGCTTTCTTGTCAAGTGGCATGATCGTTTAGCTTACAATGGCATTTACTTTGGAGGAACTTCGTGACTTTGCACCAGACTTATTAGACCAATACCTTCCAGATTACTCTCCAGGGTCGAGTTCTTTTCCACTAGGAGAGAATGATAAAAAATCATCTAACTTTACAAAAGATTTCAGAAAAGTTTATTTTTGGCAAAGAAGTCGACAAAAAATCATCAATCAGTTGGCTTAGAAATTCTAAGAGTAGTGTTGAAAATTAAAAAGTCTTTTAGTCTTTCTAAGGACTTCTTTTGTATTAAGTACGCTCATTTACTATTTCAGTGTCCTATAAGTCATATTTTGTATTTCTAAAAGACATACTAAGTCTCTAGGAGATTACTTTTGAGAATCATTATCTTCATTAATTGTACCAAGGCTCCTAAACCCCTATAAATAGTGGAGTTTGTCAATGAATCAAACACTTTATATTTGACTGAAACGAATTGCATCTTCTCTACTCTCTTAATCTCCTCTCTTATCTCACATTTTTCTCTCTCTCTTCCCCTCTCTTCCTCTCTACTTCTCTACTCTGTTCTACATCAATACCACTCTCTTGAAAAAGTTGGAATGAATCAGAACCAGTTTGGTCGTATTACTTAGCTACTTTAGGCAAGACAAAGTTCCATGTCACATCCCTTTTATGGAATGACAAAATTTCAACTGTAATTTTTTTATTACAATGGTAAGTTCATAAGAAATTTAAAAGTAGACTATAAGTGTATTGATCATTGTGGTGCTATGGCTACTAGCATTCACAGCTAAAAATCAAAAACCTGATTGCTAACAGGCGGAGACATAGTTGATATTGGTGGTGGTGATTCACAACAATCATACTAAAACTACAAGAAATAAACATCAGAATACATGATGCCTTTGTTGCATCAAACACCAAGCATGCTCACTATAAGTAACTTATCCAGCAAAACTTCATAATTCTTGCAATCTAGAAAAGAACTATGCAACGATTCTTAAAGTCCAAAACCCATGCTGAAACTGTTCACCTTCATTAGGCACAAAATGGCCTCAAATGTAAAAGTTTGTTCCCAGAAATACAAAATATGAATAATAGCTAGTGGTACTGGCGCATATACTAAGGCTCATATGGTGGAAATTTAACTGTAAAAGATTGTGGATGCTCATAAAAATCGCTAGGTTAAAAACAAAATGCCCAAAAAAATTATCAGCATGCCTCTTTTCATTAAGCTGAATATAACATGCATGCTTTTGCCTTTTGCTTGAAGGACACTTCAGTAATATATTGATATGAAAGTTGAGATGCCATTTTCAGAAAGTATTCAAAACTAAACATATTGTCAATCACATCATGAGTCATCGAGTCTCATGACCTTATGACTTCTCCAGGTTAGAAACACAAGCCAATTGTAGCATTCCAAAATTGTTTTGCTATATTTACTTCACATAAGAAGTATCCTTCCAACTATTTCTGGTCAAAACTATGGGATCCTTTCTGCCGCTAGATTTATTTAAGGGTATCTTCACTTGGAAATCAAAAGATGGCTATTTACTTTCTTATTGTATATGAAAAGGCTATGGCCTTCCTGACTCATAATCTGAACTGGTCTTCTTCTCCCTCAGTCAGTACTGAACATCTTCAATTAGAGGTCTGCTTTATACATGTCCCACATCACAAAGAATTTAACTTTAATTATCAACTAGTATGTCTCTTTCCGCAAATACAACCACTTGTTATTCTGAGTTCCAGGGGTACCAGATATATCTTTTTAAAATCCTCATCTCTGCTACCTGAACCTTTTGCATGTGTTGTCCATAGAAAAATTGGCCCTCAAATTATCTTGTGAGTTTATATCTAACTTAAAAAGACATCCAAGGGACACAACAACCTAGAACCTAGAAGCCTCCCTCTACATTTAAACCGCCTCGTTTTATTTTATGAGCATTATGTTCTCTAGACTCTAATCATGCCTTTTATAAGCAATCAATCCAAAATACTAATTATTTCAGCAATTGGTGATTTTTTACTACCTACTCATTCTATATTGATTCAAGCATTACCAGCAGAAAGGTGGTGCCAAACTGCAGCTTGTATGGCAGAGAGGAGAGGGAGAGTAAATAAGAACAGGGACCGAAGAGAAAAGGGGAGACAGGACAGCAGCTGCAAGGCTCGTTTCACCACAAAAAGAAGAGAGGAGGTGAGAGAAGGGTGAAGGAAAAAACAAGAGAGGACACTGACAACAAGCTGAACACCAATACAGAGAGAGGAGAAAGAAAAGGGAGGGAAGAGAAGAAGTGTACCAGATAGAGTAGAGGGTAGAGGAGCTGACCGACGATGGAAACATGGAAACTCGAATCCAATAGGGTACAATGCAAATAGATGGAAGGCTCCAAGCGAGTGTCAGAGAGAGAGAGAGAGAGAGAGAGAGAGAGAGAGAGAGAGAGCTCGGGTTGGAGGATAAAAGCAATTGACTTGGATCCCACGCGATGGATCATACTCGAGGGGATCTTCGTATGAAACCCAGGTGACTGCTTGGTACACCTAGCACTTCAACTGAAGTGCTAACCTAAGAACCGTAGAAGCACTCAAGCAAGGCCCTTGATTGAGCACATACATGAACGCTCAAGCACTTCTTAAAACACTGGGTAACATTTTGATGGTTCATTGCTTTTACAAAGAACTTCCATACAGGCAAAATAAAAATAGGGAGCAGATGATCAAACTCATAAGAAATATCAAATGGTTTGGTATTTTCATGGCAAATCAGTTCATACTCACAGTTGGAATTTGTACATTTGTCAAATATACTAGAACTTGTTTAATCTCTTATTTTACAGTCTTGATCAGAATGTTTCCAAAAGAAAAGGTAACACAGGCCACTCCTTGCTTGCTCTACCCCTATGTTCTTGCATGTCTCTACCTATCTCACTTAATTACTCAAGCTCCACCCCTTGTCTCTCTGACATCTACTGCTACAGCAAATCATTAAGGCCTTGGCCAATATAATACACCAGTCAGCCATTGATTTGCCTGGAACTAGAATATACACTTGTTCTATGTTGATCTAATAGTCAAGTGCTAATGTGGCAACAGCAACTAGAAAAGAAGGAAGCATACATTACTTAGCTCTTTCTCTGATGCATGAAGACGTTCCAAAGAGAGCAAGTAACGAACCCATAGTTCACCAACCCATGTACAATTCTTTGTGGCTCTAGAATATACACTTCTCAGAATGGCAGGAACCTGAAGCAAAAATAGCCAATTATGTCATCATCACATCTGCCATAATGTTTAATAAAAAACAGTAAAATGGAAACACCTTCAAGGTTCTGTCCAAATCACTAGAATACCGTAGCCATAAGTCACTAGATATTGGAAACAGTGCAACAGCACGCTCATACAAGATTTGAACACGTGCAGGGTCTCCAGAAGATTCCTCAAACTTTATATAGTTCTGTTAGCAAATGTGACAGAAAGAGTTCAGCTAGCAGTAACTGGAAACACAGTAGAAGATAACTGAAAATAAGGAGCAGTATCAACTAAGATTCAAACAAAAGTGATACCCATGAAAAATTTTCAAGAACACCTTGTCAAACAAACAAGCAATTAAAAGCTAGATGTAAGATGCATGTTCATTTAGAAACTGTGTGCGACTAGGATTGTGTGAGATATGCTTTTTGGACATTGTCACTATACCTACAAATAGTGTCCCAACCTGAAGATATCATGCCAGAGAAAGGAGTCATACAGGGTATGGGCACATATTCTCCAGTTCATTTAAGGTCAAACATGCCTCTTAGCCATTGGCTCGCATGAGCAATATGTGTCACCATTAGCAGCAATGGATATGGAAAACCTGGTCAAAAAGCAACTCCATATTGCATAAATTTCAAAAACAATATTTACATTAACCATCACTCTAGCAAACATGTGTCAAATATCTACATTTTTTATAGTACTTACCTTTAACACTTTGCCAATTTGACTAAATGCAATTAAATATAAACCTAACTATTATTGTCAACAAGACATCCAAATAAGCCTTAGTAGTACTACCAACCTTCTCTCTTCAGTTAAATGAACACCTATGCCATAATGATATAGAGCACCAAAATCCAAATCACTATCTAAACTAGCTTCTGCTAGAAAGAAGCGTCGCACTATATACTGCAAGCATATTTACCTTCAACATGAACTTCACTAAGCAACAGAAGAAAATTTATTTGTAGTTATTCTCTTAACCTATTTAAAGTAACAAACTACCACTAAGCCAATCTTTAAAAAAAGAGTACAAAGTACAAACAATTAAATGGTAAATAAAACAGAGGCGGTTAGACATTTGATAAAGAAATTGTACAACTGTATCAAAGCTAAATTGCAGAAACAAAAAGAAACAAATGCAGAATACAGTAACCATAACCATCTATCCTGGAAGTAGGATTTTCTATATCAAAATTAACAGTTACCAGCATGCTTAATATTTTACTCAAATTCCATTTTCTCAAGTGCCACAACTACCTCCATTGTCATCCATCTATAGTTAAAATTAAACATACAAACAATAAAAGAGGCAACCCACAAACATATCACACAGAAAATATATATATATATATAAAGACGTACTGGATGCAGATACATAATGATGCTCTCATAGAAAAGCATGCAAAAAGAGTTCCTAGATAGATATTGACTTGCATCAAGTGTACACAATTCAATGGTCATATTAGTCCTATCATAGACATACAGTCTGACAGTAGTCACAGACATCATACAAGAAGGATCAAGTAACATAATTTTTTAAAAATAGCCCTTTTGAGAAAATCATGGGCTAAGGGCAGCGGCAAAATCTGAAGAAGAAAGCCAAAGATATTGGATCAGTGAACAATCAGCTCATACTCAACAATGTTAGCAAACATGCATGATACCAGCAAAAAAATTCCAGAAACATTCAAAATAATTTTGGGGCTTCTAAAGACCCAACTATTCCTTCTTGTGGGACATTTCAGTCAAGGTTTTAAATTTCGAATGATACCGCCCGCTATCGGGCAGAACACTTGATATAGCCCCGTATCGAACCATACGAGGCTGTATCGGGCGGTAATGGTCGATTTCGACTGTGACCGCCCGCTACCGGACGATATCAGCCTAGCTACGACGAGGGAAGAAGAAGAGAGAGAATCGAAAGAACCTTGACGCGTCCCGATCCGACACCGCCCTCCCTCGACGATCTTGATCTATGAGGTAACGGCCAGGCGACGACTAGAGCAGCGAAAGAGGTGGTCTCCTTCATAGCCTTGTCTGCGAAGGAGACCACCTCTTTCGCTGAAGGCCGAAGACGTCTGCGGCCTTCGACATCTTCGCCGAACGCCGCAAATGAGGAGATGAAAGAGACTGCATTCTTCTCATCGTCTGAGGCGACGAGGAGAAGAGGAGGAGACGACATCATCGAGGCAACGTACGCCTCCTTTTTAAAATTTTTTAATATTATTTTTTATATTATATTATATATATATAGATGTACCGCTTGATATTCCCTGGCATACCGAACGGTACTCTCGTACCATACCGTACCGAGCAAAGCTCGATACACCGGTACGGTACGAAATTTCAAACCTTATCCTCAGTCCAAGCGTCTTGTTAAATTCTCCAATACAATTGCATTGCTTCTAAAACTTTAACTTAAATAGTCACATGGTAACCTTTATAGAAGGAACTTAATCCAAAAGAAGAAGAAAAATTAGCAAAAATACCATCAACAAGATATACAAATATAAATAAAAAAATAAAATGTAACAATCTGTACTATAATTCCTAATAAAAAACAAGAAGAAAATAACAGCACAGAGACAATGGTATGTCAGTAAATGATTCTCATTCAATAAAACTTCATAGTACCATGAACTGTTGAAGCCTCTCAGAATCAGATGCATCATGATTAGAAATTTGTTCTTCATATTGCTTACGAGCATTATAAACTTCAATTGCTTTTTTATAAGCAGAAATAATATTTGTAGGAACACCATCAAACTCAGAGTTTGCGTCATTATGATTCCCTTGTTCAGCTTCCCAAAGCTTATAATCCCTTAGTGTTGATCTTAAATCAACCAAAGGAACAGATAATTGGCGATGATATAGATTCCGAACACGGTGAGTTTGTTTTTCTTTTTCCTAATAAGAAGGAAGAGTTTAGTTAGGAAAGAAATAACAGTCTAAAACAAATATGAGCATGCCAAAAAAAATATTTTGTGCCTATGATATTGACCTCATTCTCATTGTCACCCATAATTAGACATATAGCTTGTTCAAAGTTTCTGTATGCCTCCCATATTTTATTGCCTTCAATGATATGCAACCCAGCAGCAGTAAGAGCACGCTCAAATAACTGTCTCATCTTTGAAACACCATCTGGTGAACATCGAGATATTGAAGCATCATGTTCTTGAACAAAATTTATATAATCACACCATAGAGGTACAGACTGCATTGGAAGGATAGCTAAAATTAGGAAACAGATACTGACAAAGTGTACTTATCAAACTTTGGCTGCTTTGTGGTTAGTAACCCAACATACCAAATATTCTTGCACAGCACGTTCGTAAAGCTTCTCAACTTCAGTGAAAGCTTCAGAACTGTTTAAAAATGTTCTTATAAAACATGAATTAATACATATTTAAGTCCAAATATACAGAATTAGAAACAAGAAACAAAATACTCATTCAAATATTAAAAAAGTCTTCTAATGTACAGGTTACATCAGCAAGCATGCATTGAATTAACTTAGGTCTGCATTCATATTGGTCATTTTAATAAAAGAGACAAGGATAACAACAGTTAACTAAGAAGGGTGATGATGTAATTGAAAATTAATTTTAGGCACTTAGAACCTGTGCAAGGCCTGAATTGTCTACAACAATATGAAAGATAATAGAACTACCAACACGAGAGAAGCACCAGAATATAAAATAGTGCAAATAGGACATGCACAATCACAATACATAAAAGCTTCATTTGAAATTTAATTAATAAGAAGAATGCATGGGTTTTTATTTTATCTATCCTAGGATAGAATAGAAGGAAGGGCACACCCAGGCACAGTTTAAAGATTCAGCTAAAACTTAGAAGTCAGGCCTAAAGGGACTAATTACAGCTGGTAATCAATGAAAACTTGTCCAGTCTGGTTGGTTTCAGCTGAAACCAACTCATTGGACTAGGCATCACTTGGCTTTGCCTAGTATCAGAAGTTGTGGTGGTTTCAGCTCAATTAATGACTCATCCAGTTTCATCCATGAAAATGGATCACTCAACATTGTATGTAGTTTTCTCACAGGATTTTACAATTTAGGCCTCTTCTCGGCCACCTTTCTCCGATTTTGCCTCTTATTTGCAGGTTCCTTGCATTAAACTATTTATCTTTAATTTACTAGGTCTTAAGGCCGGTTTGAATCTCTTCATCAATTTTTGATAGAATCACACAGAAATCTTCTCTCATTGGTTGGCTATGTTCCATAATAATAGTGGCCAAGAGCAGTAGGTACCACCAAGACAGAAAAGAAAGAAACAATACAATGATAACTTCCATGGCACTAAAAAAGGAAGATCATAATAACAAAGAAACATAAATAAAGATACTAGTTCTCAAATTCCTTCATAAGGTCATTGTGTAAATTTAGCTTCTGATACACATAATATGACAATGTAGAAATAATCATAGAGGTGATCATGAGAATCCACTATATAATGAATGCAACATATCATTTTAAGGATCCTTAATAGCATTCTGGTCATTACATGGCACTACGTACGTACAAAACGAGTGGCATTACCTGAATGCAGAATTAGTTCAAGCACTCAAATATGACATGAACTGGCAACATGTAAAATTTATTCAAAATCTAGCAGTGGACTTTAAAGATTCCAATTTACCACAAAGGCTTATGACACACAACACCTTTCTGAAAGACTCAACAAAAAGAATTGAGATCAAACACTTATGTCAACACAATCATCAACCTAGGTAACTGGGCGCGGAGGGACATGGCTAAGCCACATTCATGTCTCTGAACTTTTGAAACCCTCCAGCCCACTTAACCAAGAGGTGGCATGGTTAACAAATTTGGTTTTAATGTGACTGTGGAAAACTTTAGGATTCATTTACTGAATAAGGTATGAATTAGTTTAACTTCTACTATAAATCAAGTGCAGCTTGCAATGTCAGTGGAGCTTAAAAACAGCTCAGGGAATTGTGGTCTAAGTTTCAACCATGTGTTATATACTAGTGTGGCCTATAAGAAAAGGAAAAATATAATAGGAGAATTGGAGGAAAATAGCTGTTCCTTCAGAGTTTCAGTTGTCAAATGCATATTTCTATGGGTTATGTACCTAAGTCTGCAAGAAATGCAATAGTGAATGTGATCAGCGGCTATTACTGATAAATCCCTAAACATAGCTTATGAGCAGAAAAAATCTATGTAGCCACCTCCAAATAATTGAGACATTACAGCTGTGTGAAAAAAGTTATAAAGTCATTCTGATTGTAGATTCTGTTAATGAATAAATGCATTAGATACTATTTTGTACTTTGACATCTTATGCGGCTCAAATGCAATTAAAATTTATTGTTTAACCTAGGTCGATGAGCATGAACAGATGACGCATAGAATCTTGATACAGTTGCCTAGCGTACAGATGAGACAAATTTGCATTATAACATGAACAAACCCTAAATTCAAGTGAAGGTAGAAAGCATCTACCTCGTGCACAATGAGACTTCATCTTTTATCCACTCCTGCCACATCTCTGAGCTCAAGGGGAACCGCTCGTTCATCGATTCCCTCGCCTGCCGCAGCTGCTTTAGACGTCCAAACTTCCGCAAGCACTGAATGTACTGCACAAGAGAACGAAAGCGATCAAGGCACGGTGACCAAGCCTCCTACAGAGTACATAAATGCGGCCATTTACAAGCAACAAAATCATCGACGACGGGATTACCTGGACGTTGGTGTCGTAGTCGAAGGGATTCTCAGCGAGGGATTTCTCTAGGGTTTTGATCCGTAGGTCCTCCGCGGCCTCGTCATCGTCGTCGGAAGAGGATGAAGAAGAGTCGGAGTTAAGGTTCCTGTCCTCCTGCTCCGCTAGGGTTTCTTCCATTGCGATCACAACCTCGGGCGGACTTCTTCCTTCCCGCACTCCCTCTGCCACTCTGGTTCCCATGGGAATGATAAAGAAAGGCCCAATTCTATCTCTTTGGTTCGACCCACGACAGCGTGTTGACTTATATAGACCGAGATCGGGACTCGGGTTGTTTCCGGGCCTGCGCAGGAAGCCCTCTTTCGAGTTTGCACGTGACATGTACACGAGTTATGATGAAAGATGAGGTGGGCCCGCGCGGAGCCCCTCAATTCTGGCGCAGTGTGCATAGGAAGGTGTATTTTGAGATATCTGATACAGTATAACGTGTTGTAGAGAGTATAATATGTTTGATTTTGTTTATTTTATATATTAATGATATAATTTTTAGATATTTGAGTCACTGTAATATATAGGACTTGAAACTTATATTTACAAATATTATATTTGATTTTTCTTTTTTATTTTAGGGATGATCCTCTATGATTTCTAATGGAACGCTGTGAGTGAGTGATATTGAAGCCTTTGATAGTTCACTGAGATTTAGGTTCAAGGAGACAATAGTTGAAGAGGAGGGTGGAATTGATTCTAATATCCACACTGCATGCATGCGATATTGTTGAGACAATATATGTATTGTTATGAAAGAAGATGGGACTGATGTTGGATGCATTAGTGCTTTGTACAGATGAAGATGAAGATGAAGAGAAGAAACATTATGTTAGTTGGGTATGCAATATATAATGTCTACAGAAACTACAATACATGCTTTTAGATGAATAAGATTTCTCATTACATTTGTGGTTTAATGTAGGTATTTCAAGACTTTGATGGATTTAGGAAAGCTGTGAAAGAGTATTATTGATCCTACAAATTTTTGAGATTAAGCTTCTCTTTTTTTTTTTCGTTTTGAGAACCATGATGAAATACTGCCACTAATATTGAACTCAGAATATTAGCACCAAATTCATCCAAACAAATCTCCTTATGTAACTTACCTTGCCACCACTAGAGATCTGGATTTGTACAGCTATGAAAGCCAGGATGGATCCTTATGTACTGAAGCTTTAAAGAGTTAAAAATGAAGAACACAAGCACATTCTTAAGAAACCTGCAAAAGCAAGTATGTTGGTGGCTTTATATGCTAAATCTTAAATATGGTACTTCAAAACATAGTTTTCCGTGATAGTATTGGCCGATAGAGAATAACTTCAAGTAAATCTAGCAGATTCATTCTGCACTTTGAAGAAAACAATGGGAAATCAGAAATTTCCAGTCGAGGAACAAACGACATAAAAATCATGACAAGCAGTTTAGAAATGAAACTTGGCTACCAATAAATACCTTCCATACTGATCAAGAGGTACAACTTGATGACCAGCATCCGAGGAAGTATCTCAGACTGAGCTTTCATGACATAAGGCGACCAGAACGAGCGATGACATTTATCTGGCACGTCATTCCCGGATCTTTTGGACCCCTACCCAGCGAGCATAGTCAACCCATCTGCTCAATAGGAAATTTGAACGTTCAACCACGGAAATACACAAATGCCTCAAAAGAGATACTTGGGCAGCAAGCGTGGCCGAAAAAAAAAGGGGGAACTTACAGCAGGGATCCCAAAAATGTGTTTCCGGTACGAACTGCAAAGCATAGTGCACTCAGTGCTAGCTTCTGGTTGTGGAGTAAGGGCTCCAGAATGCGTTGTTCTATGACACCTGCCAATACTTGATACCTGTGGAGCATAGAATTTTATGCTAACTAACCAAATTGCAGCTAAAGCCACATTTAAAATATTGATGTGAAAGCTGTTCATTATTATATCTCAGGAAGTGATCATAAACTCAACCATATTTTTTGGAAGACCATATGAAGGTACAATCAGGCAATAAACAGTTGAGTAAATGACTACTAGTGTATTTTAGGAACCATATCCATAGCGTCCACTGCACGAAAAAAAGTTTCCCAGGTATACATATGAAATTGCTGGTAGGCATCTTGAGAAGAGAACTAGGAAATCTGAACATATCTCGAGTCCTTCAAAGCAATGGGACCTCTAGGGTGTGACAATACTTCAAATGCTTTTATTTTCAGACAGATTGCTACTTACGACTCCTATTTTAGACATGAATTAGGTCATTAGGAATCACCTTTGGAATATACAAGTGTCTGCTTAATTGAAGATTTATGGGATTATTTTTATTTAAAAATCTTTTTTTATTTGCCGAAATGGGACATATATTATATTGTGAAAAACAAATTGTTGTCCTTCATATCAAGTATCTAAGTAATGATAATTACCATAATGATGACTCAAAAAAAGCACACTGCGAAGAGTACTTGCATTTAAATTTGTTGGTCAAGAAAGTATATGTAAATAAGGTTTTAAAAAGGCAAAGGAAGCACTTAGCTTTGTTGATTTATAAGTATTTTAACCATGAGGAATACATTGCTAAAAAAAATTGAAAATGTAAAAAGATAAAATAAACAGTGAACTCTAAGTTGAAAGACATGACATATAAACTTCACCCAGCCATTAAGATGTAATTATAACCAACAATTTACTCCACTTAGCTATGAAAACAGCTTATCATGTAAACATTTTGTTAACAACTTAAGCTAAACTAACAAGTTGTCAAAACAGATAAACAATAAAAGAGCAATGAGAAAAGTTATTTGAATTTTCATTCATACCTAAGGTTGCTTGAAACAGCCATGTAGACTCCATAGGCAACACTAGTTGATAATATGGGCACATCTTCTGCTTCAACACCAAAATCCTTGTCAATTGCTTTCCTCACATTGATCAAAGCATTGGTTATACCAGTACCAATCTGTAAACCATTTGATACAACTGTCAGGCAACATGTTTCAACATGAATTAATTGATAACTTCTTGTAAGCATCAAAATAACTTTTAAACTCATACCAAATTTTATATGAAACACAACTAATAGCTATTATGTTACAATATATAGTATACATAAGACAGAGACATTCTACACCTACTTTGTCCAACATGGTAAAACCCAGCCCATGGATGTGTTCAAAATTCCTTCCCAACAATATCTCACCCCTTTGATGTGGTCAAGTTGCCATCCCAAATGCATCCCCCAAAAAACATCTAAAAGGAGTGCATATTATTATTACCCAATTCTTTGTCACGTTTGTAGTTTTGGACCAAATGCATGCCGAAAGAACTCTATATAAAAGATATAAACCACACTTTATATGCTGATCAGCAGTAATACAGTAAACTGGATTATATATCTGGTTAATTGTGGCTCGCTACTGCTAACCCACTCAACTAGAAGTGTAAGGTAAAGGAATTTCATAAACAACTCATCTGCTCAACCAAAAACCCATCCATGATTACTAAGTACAACAATGATTTAACATCTCAGCAACGAAAAACCCACTCACGATAAATAAATAGGATAATTGTCTAACCTCTGGCCAACCAAAAGCCTATCCGTGATCCTCATAGTGGAACATTCATATGTTTCTTTTTTTGACTTACTCAAAAGGTTTGGCCTGACATGAAGCAACCTGAATATTTCCATCCTTACTTGAGCAAGAAAAGATACATAGGTCCACAACTGATTGACTAAGCCAATAACTGAGACATTGGTATCAGATTTTCAGTAAAAAGTTTCAAAAGATTTCAGGCCAAAAGGTAGTAGACCTTACATAGGCAGGCCTTATTTATTTCAAGTACAGAAAGGAAGGCCAAATTTGTGATTTTTCATCTTTTCTTTGATTTTTTCGTTCGCAGACAATCTTGACTTCAAATTCAAAAGATGAATATATATGGAACAGAAAATATTGCTGCACATGAAAATTGAGGTCCTCTATGAACATGTGATATCATCAAATTTATGACCAAAAAAAAAAAACGGGATGAGAATTTATAGTAGTCAGTATAAATGGGATTAAGAATTGTGTCAAGACAAGCAAAAATAGATGCCAGTTGTACTACTTACTCTCTAGGTGCTTCTCAGATGCATGGAGCACCAAATTATTTGTGATCCAAAATCCAAATACCATTTTGGCTTTTCAGTAGGGAAGACATGTAGTAAACGCTATCAAAACAGTCCAAGTTATTTCTGAGGCAATTTGGAAGATCTCTGATATACTCTATGGAAGGGGTTTTCAACCCACAACATTCAATTTCATAGTGCTCCACAGGGAAATTTTAAAAACACAATCCATTTTATTGGAAACTTTGTTGGAGAACATACAAGATTCAATAGCCTTGATTAGAATTAAGTTACCATAGCTTGGTGTGAACTCAAGAAAAAGGAAAGAAAAATGCTAAATATTTCATGAAAATGCCTTAAAGCTGGACAAATATTGCATACCAGAGATGCACTTGTCCCAACGATGAAAAGCTTAGATCCATTTCTCTGTGAGAGATACAATAATTAAATGAATATTTTAAGTGCACTCAGCAAAAAGGAACAACTCCTTGCTTCTCAAAACTAAGCCAACCATAATAGTTGATCAAAAAATTTTGTTAATTTACCATAATTGCACCAACTCTCTGTAAGAATGAGTATGATGTTCCAGCCAAAGCAACCTGGTAAAAGAAGGATTGCCATTTATAAATACAACTAAGGAAAATTTTTCTTTGAATTAATCAACAAGTGAGAAACATCATTCACCTGAAAAGCATTATCAGGACAGTTATAAAAGAACTTTGCAATAGGTCCAGCATTGAATTGAAGAGGTGGTCGTAGAGAGACCGTTGGAGCAGGAAGCCAGACAAGCATAAAATCAGCAACTATGGCCATTACCTAAGCAACAGTAATTATCATGAAATGAAGAAAAAACAACTTAGGGAAACAATTGATGTTAAATATAGCATTAAATATGTATGACATCGAAGAAATCCTATCATCAATCAGCTGACTTGCCTTAAAGTTTTATAACGAGCCAATTTCTTGACAAGGTTGCCTAAGCCAGAAGTATCAAGTATTGAACAGTTGCCATGGGGAAATGTAAGGATTGCATCATGTCCAGGCTAGTGATTCTTAACTTTCAAGGATTTGCATATATCTTGAAAGAAATGCCAAGGGAAAAATCAGGGAGAGTTGATAATCCTTATTCTCAGCATGATAATAATAGTTACGTAAAGTCTAAAACAGGGAACTGATGAACTCGGTATAGTTTGGTAAAGTTCGGCTTACATTACCGGTCCAACTGTCAATCGGTGTGTGAAGTAGCCCAAACTGGGTAGTCCAGTCTGGTTCCTATGTATATGTATATAATGTAGCCCAAACAGCTTAAAAGCTAATCTGGATGGCTATGGTGGCTGCTAGGGCTTGCAAGATGTGGTCTGCCTATCCAGTACATTTCCTCCTCTTCCTTCTTCTTCTTCTTCCTCTTCCTTCTTCCTCCCTTCCTCTCCCTGCCCAACAGTATTGCAGTATGCACCAGCATAATGACACACAATATGCCAGTATAGCTCGGACCTGGACTTGTACAGGTTCAGTGGCCAGTAAGTGAATCCTTGGTCTTTAAAAAAAAATGACATAAACAAGAAGAAATATGATAGAATCACTATTTCATATTTAAATGATTAGGAAACAAGGTTATGAAATAAGGTTTTACTGTTTTACATATTAATATTTAATATGTGGATCTCAGGAAACAAGGTTTTATGTGTATGTGGTGCATAATTGAATGCAATATGCTGCTCTAGATAGTAATAATGTGTAAGGCCGACAATAACATCTTTCGCTTGCCTTCTTCCTAAAAGACAGTAGCATATCCCCTTCAAAGCCTATATGTTTATCTAAGAAATATTTTAATATTTACTCATAGAAGTACTCCTATAATTATCACAAAATTGAGTGCTTCATAATATTGTGTAAGGCCAACAATAACATCTTTCGCTTGCCTTCTTCCTAAAAGACAGTAGCATATCCCCTTCAAAGCTTATTATGTTTATCTGAAATATTTTAATATTTACTCATAGAAGTACTCTTATATTTATAACAAAAATGAGTGCTTCATCTTGAGCCTTTACTTGTGTAATTTGAGGTATCCCTACACAAATCAATGGTGGGAGAAGATCGATGTGGTCAACCCAAATAGTTGAGACATCACAACTTGTAGTTGTCATGGTAGATTGTTTATCACTCCTCCCTTTACCCTTTCATCTTTGTTCGGAACTATGGCAAACAATGAACATTATAACAATGATAATTGCAAATAAAGCAATAGCATCAAGACAAATGGTCTACACGACAACAATAGAGTCTCTGTTTCACAGCCATAATTGGACTTTGGCATCTTTCCTCCTTCAGTTGTTCCTTTTTTCCTCCTATGGTTACCATTTGCAGAAATTCTTGGCTTCCTTCCACATATCCTCTTCTTTTGCATCTTTTTAAGGTTGAAAAATGAGTTGGGATTGACAAATACTAGCTTAATCTACAGTTGATCTGTCTAGTTTTGATCAATTTATGAAAAAAAAGATCACAAATTTGGTTGGAATCAGATCAACCTAGACTAATACAACTACATATCAGGCAAAATATACTGGGATCAGATAATATGGATAACTTAAGCCCCCGATTAATCTTTGCAAAAGTAATTTGTTTAACAAAACCTTATATCTATGCTACAATTTTGAAGGCCTTAATTAATTGTTTGACAACATTGTAGTTAAAAGATTGTGAGAAAGCAATCAAAGCAAGAGATAAACATACTAATAGCCCAATCAGGTCACCCATGCTCTATATAATTCAATCAATTTTAGAGCAAGAAAGAAAAAACATAAAACAACAAAGCATAGAGTTGTATTGTATCCTTTCCTTTGTTGTGCTTTTATATATTCCTTTCCAGAAAAATTGTAAATGCAAGTTCATAGGGTGATTTGCCTTTATGCTTAAAATTAACCTTGCAGTATCTCTTCAATCACATGCTATATCCACAAGTCTTTAGTTATCATTTAATAGATTTGTTGGCAATTTTTACCTTTTCTGCTTGCAGAGGAGTTTACATCAAGCTAACAGAAAGAGCATGCAGAATTATTTACAAAAAAGAACAAAGGGTAAAAAATAAAGGCTACATTTTCTATCTCTGCATTTCAACAGTATAGTAACTGAAAACAGAATATGAAGAAGAAAATAATTCCATAAGAAACCATACCACATCTGCAAAAACAAAATCTAATTCCTTCATAAAATTCTCTCTGCGACGTTCCCACTCTGCAGCTGTCTGAAAAAGGCAAGTTAATAAATCAGTATCTTTGGAGTAAAATCTTCTAGAAATGAAAATATTTTTTATTAATGGGGAGAATAGTAATCCAAGAAAAACAAATAAAATAATATTAGGTTTCTCTGCATTTGCATGAACTCAAAAATAAGATAACACATTATTAAAAAGATAACAAATCACAATTTAGGTAGTTTATCTTATTGTAACAAAATTAGTAATTTGTGCGAATTTTACCTCTCTATATGAAATTAAACATCATGATGTAATTAGAAATAGATAAATATATCGGTAGTTTCTTAGTTATCACTGATTAAACATTTAAAGAAAAAGGAAATATTTTACAGTGAAAGAAAATAAAAATCTTTTACAGATGAGGTGGACTCTAAGCAAGAAAAAGTCATCAAACACTCAAACACATGAAAGTACAGTTGTAGAAAACTGACATACATATGATGATGATTAGATATTAATTCTGTTAAAATTCTGGAGCATAAGAGTAACAGTGATCTAAAAGTAAAATTGATTTGTTACTAACCATCATCTTCTTTACTGTTTATTCACTCCCTCATTAGTGTCTCATACTAAATTACCTGATATTATTTTTCCAAAGCAAATATTAGTGTTATTATTACCTAATTTCTGTTGTAAACCTACTCCAACAATAGAATTTCAATTATATCTTAATTCAATTTAGCTAAAATGGTCATATATGGCATCTTCTTAATTTGTTACTATTTGCTATTTTCAATTGTGCAATCCTGTCTAAATCGTAGTCTGCAAATTAAATCCAACCTAATTCACCTGGACCACCTCAGCAATGTGACTTCTAGATAGCAAAGATTAGATACTGTAATTGAGCAAATTGAACCACCTGTGCCCCTGAAAGGCACAAAAGTTCGAAATTAATACTCGAATTAATAAAGTTCAGTTGTCTCCCAATTCCCTAAAGCATCAGACATGACTATTATCCTTTTCTCGAAGTGAGACATAGACATCCTCAAAAAGACATAAGCATAAGATGCAAAAGAAAGGACAAGAAAACTTTCAAATTACACAAAATTTCAGATAAAAGCCTCTAAAACCTAAGATCCTGTAATAAAAGAATAATTTACAAAGAAAACAAAGAAGCAAGAATGACTAAATCAAATAAATGACTCCTTCATTACTAATATTTTAAGCTTGAAGCTGAACAATCTATTGCAACTGAAAAAAATTCTTCATACTTGTTCATTAAATTACAAAAATGAAAACCTGCAATATTAAGAAGAAATAAAACTGCGAGTGGGTTTTACCCTCAGATTCTCAGGCATCAATGGTGCATTGAACACTTATGCACCAACTGAAAAAGCCATCAATAATGAGCTGCCACAGAAGTGAATCAATATAATTTAGGCCAGACTAAATTAAGATTGAACTTTCGATTTTGTACAGTGATTTTCTTCATTAACTTCACAGATGTTCAAGAGTTAATTCAGGAGACCAAATACAGAACAAAAAAAAAAAAAGTCTCTAGATGAGTTCCCATTCTTACCTGATCACAAAAACCCCTAATCATTTAGGAAAGCTTTGAAAAAAAAGGCTTATCTTAGAAGATAAGGCCTCATCAAAGAGAGAACAAAGCTAATATGTGGCTCTTGTTTCTCTTATAGATCCCTAAATTAACTTAAACAAGGACTTAAGCTTATACTTGAGACAAAACATAGAATTTTGTTCTAATAGCCCCAGTCATATTTATTCTTTCTGTTTTACTAATCTCCCTAGTTTAATAAATTTTCTGTTTTTTTACCAGAAATTTTGCGTCAAATCTTTTCCAACTGCAAAATATCAACAGTTTCTGTATAATCAGCTTATACTAGCTATAGTTCATAATTTTCCTAATTTTTTACCGGCATAATCTGTTTTTTCCTGCAGAAAACTATCCAGCAGACATCATATAGGGAGCTCTTACTGTCAATGTTACCATGATAGGCAGAACACAATCATTAATCTTCTCTTTATGTACATAAGAAGAACAAGTGCAACTTCTGTTCAATTTTATACAACTTTCTCACTTATTGTGCAAGAAAAAAATGGAAATGTATGCCTAATTTCCCCTAATTTACAACAGAAAGTTAATCCACAGATTATAACCACAAAGAAGATCATTGAAAGCACAACATTATATTTCCTTACTCAAGACAGTTCAATTCTTGTAGAATGAAGACCAACTCTTTGTTAAACATCAGTCTCACCAATCAAGAAAGTGAGTTTTTCTAAATAGATTTTCTAACCAAGAATCAAGAATTCCGTTCAAGTTGCATCATCCAGAATGAACCTCATTAGTTATCTCACAGAGGTGCGAGTAGATAGAACAAAAAGGCATCAAACCGTTTTCTGATACAGAAGTATCGAGAAATGGTGATTATGGACTAGTGACATACATTTTCAGCCAAAAGAAGATCGGAAACAAACCAGAATTTTGTAAACTGAGAATAGACAAAAACAACGTAAGCAGTAAAATGAGCAACAGGAAAAATCGAGAACAAAAAACAAGCAGTATGTTAACGATAAAATGTATACAGCCTACAGCATGAGAAAGAAAATCGCTAAAATTAGCAAAAATAAGTCAACAAATTAATAAAACTCCATCTACAAGAATGGAACAAAGAACAACCTTAAGACTACATAGGAGACCTCATCAATTTCTCATTAAAAAATCCACATTAAGACCTCATCAGGGGAAGAACAACCCAATGGTGAACCACCTTACGGTCATCCGAAGAGAAGATGGAATAGAAGAAGAAAGGACCTTGGTGAATATGCCGACGCCACACTCTATGGCGACCTTAGCCAAGAAGAGGTCATCGGCCAGGAGCCGTTCCTTAAACCCCCCGAATTGGAGCAGCCACCGGAAGACCGGCGATTTCTCGAGCTCAAAGAACCGCTGCACGATTGACCCAGGGATCCGCCCGGCCTCGATCGCGGCCGCCAAGTCCTTCGGGAGGCTCTCCAGCGTCCGCCCTGCCTCGGCCAGCACGAGCAGCGCCTCCGACCGGTTCTTCCGCCCCGAGCTCCCATCCTCTCCATCACCGTCGCCGCTGCCGCCACCTCCGCCCTCGCCGCCTCCACCGCCGCCTGATCGTACGGTCACGGGGCGGCGGGCGGAGGAGGGGAGGGAGATCTTGATGCGGCGTGGAGGGAGGGAGCGGGAGAAGAAGCGGACGGTGAGGGGTGACGCGAGGGCTTGTGAAGGGAGGCGGTGGGAGAGGGAGGAGGAGACTCGCAGGCTGGTGGGTCCCGCTGCGCCTGGAGCAGCGGCCGCCATCGTCGGGCCAGAGATCGGCGAGGAATGGCCGTTTGGTTTGCGGTGGGCGGGAGGACGGCCCCATCTCCACCTCGATGCCTATAACAGTCCGTTACCCGTTGTTTTTCTCGGTTGACTCGGAACTTGGACCCGACATACAAAGAGACGCTGGACAACAAGTCAGCACGACCGACCCAGCACTGAAACATATCCAGGGTGATGTCCCCTTTCACAGTACTTGATTTGTGGGCTCGACACGTCAGCTCGACACCTTTCTCGTGATTGAGCCTTATGTGGCCTGAATCAAAGACAGAGATTATTGGAAGGGAAGCGATCAAATGAGCCCAACCACACGTAGCTAATGCGGTTAAGAACCGCCCGCCGGGGATCAGGAACGGGATAATGTTCCACTTTTCATGTTTGATCCCCGACGTTTCACCTCATCCTCTGTGGCTCTCAGAAGCCTGATATGTGGAGCCCACAGGAGCAGATGAAGCCACGTAAGGCTGGACTCGTAAACCTTTAGCGTAAACTACAAGGACAAATGTAGGTGGGTCCACTGGATGTTAAGAGATGATAGTTTGTTGTCATTGGACGTTGTTGGTGGATCGTATTCCCGAGGGTGTAGCATTACTTCTCTGCTTGACGCATGTCACCATCCCGAGTCAGCAAGGATACAACGGAGACAGTTGTCGAATGATTTCAAATCATGGATTACGAGAAATAAAGATGTCCCGTTGACGAGCCGTTGACCTCGATGCAGATTGGGTTTTGGTTCGAGTCTGCATCGTTGGCCGAGCTCGATGTTACCGGATCGAATTAAAGCAGGGTATAGTTTGATTCGAATCAGCATCATAATTATCAGGGATTCGAATTCAAAATCTTATAATAAACTATCAAGATATTTATTAATTAAATTAATTTATATTTTCTAAATATGTCGGTTGATGTTTCGAACCTTTAACATTTAATAAGAAAATTTTATATACTAATATTTAATATGTAATAATCATAATTATTAAAAAAAATTCTCATAGATCAATTAAATTAGTGCATAAGGTAACCTCCAACTCTTACCCGGGGGTGGAGACATCAAGTGAAGCTTGAATTATTATAGTATTGCTAAGGAGCTTATGTTAGATGGTGAAATATCTTGACTAGTTGATCAATCTATCTATTTCAAATGATAGATGGTGGACAGATTAATTCATACACTTCATATGTCAAATGTTGCTTTGGGTTGATCGATATGCTCACTAATACATCATTCTATTGGGTTGATTTGATTAGATAGATCTCTCTTCTAATGAGCATCCAACCGAGATGCATGCATCGGGCAGAATTCCAAACCACCCGCATTGGGTAATGGAATTTGTGTTCGCCTAACCTACCGATGTGAGGTTGGGGGACCCACGTTAGGCCGTGGAAACTCGCATGCAAGGGAACTCAAGGAGAATTGTGTTGCTTCGCTCGTCATAGCGTAGTATGATGACCCAGATGAAGACCTCTTCTAATATCAATGAAGTCGGCTCGATGAGAGGATCAGGCCCTTTTTCCTCTTCCTTCTCCACTTTGGATGCTTTGAGTGGTCTCAATCTAGGGACACGTGGAAACCATGGTCGATCCATCCCCCTCGAGTCTTCTCGATCTAGGTGGCAAAAGAAACCATGTAGTGTACGTCAAAAAAAAGTAGAGAGCCTTGCGTGGGTTAGTGGAGGTGGTGAAAGAAGCCTTTGAGATGCTTGTTTTGAGTAATAGTTTTTCTTTGAGCATGTCTTGTTGAAATTGATATATCAACAAGTATAACATTGGAGAGCCATTATGAGTATTGCACCTTATAAATAAATCCAACACCTAACTACTTGTCTTCGATGTGGCTTGCTAGCTGTTGGAGGTAAATTTTTTAGGTCTCTATTTTACTGGGTGCATCTCAAGTGAGATATTCATAGTGGTGGCCTTTCCTACCTCAGTCTCTTATGTGACTCCTTATGCTTGATTAAGACCATTATCCTGATGATAATATATTGATTGATTTTTTAAATTATCTTAGGTACTATTAAGTATCATCGATGTTCTCTCTATCAACGACCAGACGGGAGAGCCTAAGCCCTATCATATAGGTCCGTATGAGGAGTAATAAATGGGCATAGACTATACTTCATATATCATTTGTGAATTGGGTGATGAAATCTGAGAATAATTCTTTCTCCCTTTGTCGAAGTCCCAAGAGGGTTGCTACCAAATGCTAAGGGTATATATTCCCAATAAATTGTTGCTCAAACTCTTTTACTAATTGGGCATACGAGTTACTTGAGAGTGGCTTTAGGCAAAGGTGTCAATCTCATATTAAGCCTCGCAATATAATAAGAAAATTGTGACACATTAGAGTGCCCAATGTGCAGCATAAAAAGTTATGATGTGCTAGTCGAGTCAGCAAAGCCATCAAATACCTCTAGGTTAGAAGATAGAAGTTGGTGGAGATAAGCTTCTCTTGGATCTTTTGAACGAATGGTAATTGACCCAAGATGAGATCGATCAAGTCTTCTCCCTTGGATAGTTGAAACTCCCGACACTCTAGTTCATATATTGCAATTGTGCTCAAAGGATGTCCTCCATGGAGTATAAAGACTGTGCTTTAGACTCATGTATGATGGACCAATGATGGTAAGGTCCATTGAACTCTATGGTAGGGGATTGAGTTGCCCCTTTTGTTGAGTGATTAACGAGCCTTGGGTATTCTTAGGGGGTCAACATCATGTTAAGTCAAGAAATCTTGATGGGTGTTAGTGGTGTTACGGAACATGGTGAGACTTGAGGCATCAATGACTAAACTAGCTGAGGCTAGGGTGACGGTCTATGTCATTCATGTGAGCATCTATAATTGTTTTGTGAGGTTTAGAAAGGCCTCAACAGGGATGAGCATGCGGGTTGGAGTTATCCTTATGAGAGAAAAACTTGAGTCATTGAACAAACACTAGTACCTTATTGAAATCTACACAGAAGTGAAAGTGTCAAGATTTGAAAATATTGATTATTGCCCCCCATGAGTGAAGGTATTATAATTCGAGGGTGGAGCCTTCTTATTCAAACATCATTGAGTGGGTTGGTAGGTTGACATTCCTATGACATGGACCTCGTAGCACCAAAATATTAGAGAAAAATATTATTAACGTCTAGAATAGCTCGACGTAGTGTCACGGACAAACTTCTAAACAGGATGTTTGATGTAATGCTTATGTATGTCCGTGTCTTTTGGTATGTTCATGCTTTGCACAACATGTAGAGGGACGACCGAAGGCTTAATAATCTCATTTTAGTTAGGTTGGTGGCCGCTTTAGGCTTGTAAATAAAGGTTGTGTCATGTGGACACGTGCGAGAGATTTTTGGTCCATAATGGATCATTTTACCCTTTGTTGTGCAACTGTTCAGAGCTTGTAAAGTCTGTTTGTAATTTGCATTGTCTATGAAGTGTTTTCGGAGATGTTTACTTGTGGATCCCGAGTGAGGCGTTTTCTCTAACATGTTCTCTCTTTTGCGGGTCATAAGGGATCATGGGAGGCTTCGGGGAGGCTGACCTTTGCGGACGGACACGCAAGGGTGCCGCATGACTTAGGCAAAACCAGCTAAGTCCGTGACAGATGGTATCGGAGCCGGACAAGCACTCATAGAAACACTTAGCATGCAAATGTGGGGGACCTAGCGGGGCTGCGTTGAGGGCAGTCAGCAAACGCGCGATTGTTTAGGGGGAAAACGGGCATGGAGATGTAGGGAAAAGGAGTCGCTCAGAGGAGCGGGCATCTGACATTAACATTTAGAGGAATGACCAACCCTTCGCGCAAGAGGCACCACGAGAACAGGCAAACTTGGAAGAATGTGGAGCGCACAAAGGTTAGGATGGCTGAGTTTGAGCTATGGCTTAACGTTGACAACTATACTTGATGGTGCTCAAGGCAAGCGAGGCGCTTGGTAAAGGATGAGACCATGCAAGGTGGAATGAGTAGCTCAATGACCAAAAGAGTTATGCAAAGCTCACAGAGGTGAGGGGAATTGCTAGCTCGAAGAATTTGATACTCATGCATGGGCTTGTATGCGGACGATGGAATGTTCGTGGCCATCCCAAGGCGACCGAAACTCGGCGCCATGGAGTATTGAAACTTTCTCTTTGGCATGTGAAGGATACGTCCGTAGGAGGCTAAAGTGTACAATGAGTTCAGCATGTTGCTAGGCCTTGAGTGATGCAGCGGGGGCTGTATTGACCTGGAGTCACAATCTAGCAAGTGTGTTTGCAGGAGGCAGAATAATGC